TATACTATTACTAATGTTATAAATGTGACAGTTTGTTTGTTTTCAGTTCAATCACGCATTAACTACTGGTCGGATTGGGTTGAAATGTGGCTTTATGATAGCTCAGATTCCCGATTAATACAAGCCTATTCTTATCTAAAAAATCCTTTCGGGCTAAAAATGTATAGATATTTATTTAAGTAAATAAAATATGTATGTTGCATTTTAGCAAGCTTGTGATCTTTATTTTCAGACCTATTATTGGATTTTTCAAGCAAAAATTAGTCATAAATTAAAATGCCCCCGCCGCAACAAACCTGCACCCTAAGCGAATTTCAATTTGCCTGATTGAATTTAGACTAAAATATCACATTTATTCCCTATTTAAATAGCAATACTTTAACTAGTACTTCGGTTTGCTGCGACAGGGAGGGTAAAAAAGTGTTTTTAGTAAAATGTTAAATAGTTTAGTATAAAACAAATGCATTTTCCAAATTTGATAAAAATATTTTCATATACAGGCTAACTACAACAAGTTTTCTTATTCTCCGTAAGAATAACATAGGAATTTTAAATTTAATTTTTTTTTGGAATTTTCTCCGTAACTAGGTATTAGGCCCATGACAACGCTTCAATGTACTAAATTGTTTTTTTTTCTGAGCCCTAAAATGGTTTCGAAATAAATTGCAAAATTTTACGTTTTTAGGGTCAAAAATGGGGAAAACCAATTTTTACCCCATAAAACCCCCCATAAACCCCTGTTCCCATGGTCCGATCATGCTGGTTCGCAAACTCGTTCAAATAAATGTAGGTTTACATGTTTGTACCAAATTTCATCGAATTCGGATCATTTTTGCTTAAGTTATCGTGCTAACGGACACATTTGACCAAAATCTTGGACGCCATCTTGAATTTTGGACTTCCGAGACTCCGATTTCATTAGACTTTTTTTCCTGGAAAATACACATAATTCTAAGTCAAAATAACCAATAAAACAATTTAAAGCAATTTTTTTAGGGTTCTCGTACGGATTTACTCGACTACTTATGAGAAATGGAATTAATGAATCTTAACAGCTGTTTCAATTAAACAAGTTGGTTCTGTTCTATGATGTTCAATAGCATTAAAGTTACAAGGATTACCAACAGGGTGCAGCACTATTATTTCTTTTACATTTATGACAAACAGCTAATTTGCAACCAAAAGGTGAGTGAGCGTAGCGAACGAACTTCAACCTGGAGGCGAGTTAGCGTAGCGAACGAGCTAACCTGAAAGCAAGTGAGCGCAGCGAACGAGCTCCAACCTAAAGGTGAGTGAGCGTAGCGAACGAGCTCCAACCCAAAGGTGAGTGAGCGTAGCGAACGAACTTCAACCAGGACGTGATTGAGCGATGCGAACGAGATCATCTTGAAAATTAAACGTAACGGTACTTTCTTTCCATCGGTCTGTCTTAGGGGAAACCTATAACTTAGGCGATACGAAGTTCGCCGGGTCAGCTAGTAAATTTATATATGTGTCCGTTAGCGCGATAACTCGAGCAAAATTGATCCGATTTTGATGAAATTTGGTACAAACGTGTAAACCTACATTTATTCGAACGAGTTCGCGAACCAGCATAATCGGACCATGGGATCAGGGGTTTATGGGGGGTTTTATGGGGTAAAATGGGTTTTTCTTATTTTTGACCCTAAAAACTTTAAATTTCTAAATTTCTCTCTAGACTATTTTGAAGAGCTTAAAAAAACAAATAATTTAGTATATTGAAGTTTTTTTGAATGTTCATTGACTACGGAGAAAATTAAAAAAATTGTACATTTAAAATTCTCATGTTATTCTTATGGAGAATAAATAAACTGTTCTAGTTTGCTTGTTTATGGATATATTTTAATCAAATTTGGCAATTTGGCTTATTTCATACTAAGCTATCAATATTTCAATTCAAAAAACACACCTCAACATCTTCCCTGTAGCAGCAAACCTAACTACTCACTAAAATTAATGTTATTTAAATAGGAAATAAATCTGAAAATTTATAGGGAATATTTTAGTAGAAATCAAGCCGGGTAAATGGAAATTCGCTTAGTATGCAGGTTTGCTGCGACGGGGGTATTTTTTATTTGTATTGGGAGGAAAACCTTAATGACGACAATGATCTACACATGTTTGTTGCAAGGGTGGATTTATAGTCCAGAAGAACTAGGATGTGTCAATGAAAATAAATCAGGCATCACTCGGCAACGGCGCCGATTGGCTGGCAGCCCGCGTTATTTCTGATCCATCATGTATCTCGCCGACTGACGCGGCAGTTCTCGGTCGCACCATGACCGTGAAGTGACGTACTTCTGCGGAACATATGATCGTGACATTCTGGATACTTGTATACGTCGTCTGTCATCGCTGGAAACGGTGATACAAATGGAATATGTGTAGTAGAAAGTAGACTCGTTACTCGTTGTACTGTAATGTTGTTGTAATAGTTTCTGTAAGGAGTATGTGTCATAGTATAGCAGGATCAGTCGAATTATTTTTTTTGTTTATATTAGCTAGGCTTATTATAGTAATTTTGTAATTGTAATTATTAGTAATTTAAATATCATTCATGTTAACAATGCCTAGTGATATATCTCTGTATATTTTAAAACCCTGTTCAAGTTTACATCAACAAAAGGAGGGATTTGTATTTAAAAATATCTACAGATCATAATCAATGCCTTGCATATATATTTCAATGCCCAACCGTGAACATATATTTTCAATAGTCTCTTTTAGTACTGAGTTTTATTTCAAGTTGAATACATTTTGTATACTTAAATGTTGCTTTACGGTTAAAGTTCAGGATTTGTCCGTGTCGTATTTTAGCGAATTTCCCATATAGGGAATAAGCTATTACCGTAGTACTCATGGTAAGACCTGGACGCGGGACCGATTTTTTTTTCGTTTTGAGGTCTCTAGAGGCCAAAAACACCATCCGTTCAAATTCATATATATATATATATATATATATATATATATATATATATATATATATATATATGTGTCCGTCAGCACGATAACTCGAGCAAAAATGATCCGATTTTGATGAAATTTGGTACAAACGTGTAAACGTACGTTTATTCGAACGAGTTCGCGATCCAGCATGATCGGACCATGGGAACGGGGGTTTACGGGGGGTTTTATGGGGTAAAAATAGGTTTTTCCCATTTTTGACCCAAAAAACATAAAATTTAGCAATTTCTTTCCAAACCATGTTGTAGAGCTTAAAAAAACAAATAATTTAGTATATTGAAGCGTTATTATGCGCCTAATGGTTACGGAGAAAATTCCAAAAAAATTGTAAATTTAAAATTTCCATGTTATTCTTATGGAGAATAAGTGAACTGTTGTAGTTTGCTTGTTTGTGAACATATTTTGATCAAATTTGGAAAATGTTTTTATTTCTTACTAACTATTCACATTTTACAAAAAAAAAAACAGTTTTACCCTCCCAGATGCAGCAAACCTAAGTACTTGTTAAACTAATTCTATCAAGAATAAATGTTATATTTTTAAGTAGACATTTCAGTGTAAATCCAATCAGTCAAATGGAAATTCGCTTAGTCTGCAGGTTTGCTGCGGCGGGGGTATTTTATTTTTGAAATGAAAAAAATAATCTACTACATGTTCGTATGGCAACCAGCACCAACACCAGCAAAAACCAATGCTCGTTTATGTATATAATAAACGATATTACTGTTATTCAACTAATGCAGGCTTAACATAAAACATTTATAATCAGCAGTATAATAAATTGTATATAGTCAATGGCAGTGTACACTGTACAGCATGGTTTGCCACTGGCCTGCCTTGTGAAACAGAAACAGCTGACTATAAACCTCTGCTTCTTCTTATCAATCAGAGCGCGTTTTGTTTTGATTTCAATGAATGTTTGTTTATTGTTTACTGTTTTGGATTTGGATTTTTCTATTTCTACTTTCCTGTTTCCTCCTCCTTCAAGCTTCAAGTTGTCTGCACTGCACTGCAACACTGCATCTTCTAGCATAGTGCATTAGTAAAAGTGCATAAATTACTCTTCGTCGTTGTTTAAAAAGTCTAGGTTTAGGCATAGGTTTTGTTTACCATTACTTAAAGATTGAGTGAATATTATTTTTTTTCCAAAGGTAATTGTTTTGTGTTTAGTAGGCTACTGTTTCTTAGTACTTTTTTGTGTAGGCTATTTGCTGGTGACCATTGATGTTTTGACAAATAAACACTAGGCACTTTTTTGTTTTATTAAATCATGCCCTGATTTGAATCCTTCATAATAGGCTATAATATACTTATTACTTATACTTACTTTATCATTGAGTATACACTACCTACTCAATTATAGAATGAATAACTTATCCATTAGCATTTGATGTTGTAACTTATTGATTGTACAGTACTAGCCTATTAGTTACGATTGGGCTCTGATTGATTTGATTTTCAATTGTAAACTTAATGATAGTTCAAAGCTCAGCCTTAAATTTTTAACTACACAGTTGGGTTAATTAGGCTGCACTTTACTTGACGTCCTACACTCATTCGAATGAAAATATCGATCGATATATCGATTAATCGATTGCTTCATTCGATATATCGTTTGGTTAGTTAGGTAAGGTTAACCTAACCTAACTAACCAAACGATATATCGAATGAAACAATCGAATGAAAATATCGTATCGAAAAAACAATCGAATGAGTGTAGGACGTCAAGTAAAGTGCAGCCGTTAATTAACTTAAGGTTAAATTTCATTTTTGTAATTTTTTTGGAAATAAAAAAAAGTTAGCCCTATAAACTTAGTTTGAAATAGACTACCAATAGTTTTTGGTTTAACTAAATACCTAGCCTATTTTGGAAATACAATGGAATCGGATATCAAAGTTTCATCTATACCTTTTTTAGGTCTATCTTTCCAACCTTCTGTAATAGCCTAAGTTGTAAAATTCAAAAACCTAAGTTATAGGCTTAGTTGTTTATTAATTAATGATTTCATTTCTAGGACCAGAGGAGATGTGGAGCTAACGGGGGAGAGATTCAGCAGCGTCACCCAACGTGGCGCTGTAACTCTGAACGTCCGCAATGCAACAGTCGGTGATTCTGGCCGATACACTCTCTCTGCTCGCAATGACGCAGGCCAAGCACATTCCGACTTATTGCTTGAGGTGCGCACACGGCCAGGCGATGTCCCTGTTTTTCTCCGAAGACTCAATGATCTCGCTGTCAAGGTCGGCACACGCACAAGGTTCCTTGTTGAGGTCCGAAGCCCCACACAGGTTAAGGTTAGTTTTAAAATACCGTATCTGTTTGCTAGACTCCAAAGGGAAATCAAGGGTAAGTACCTAAGTGTTGGTGAATCTGCAAATAACATGAACCTGGGTTGACAAAGATCACTATTTGGTGCTTGAAATCCTGAACACCTAATTAATAGGCCCTACAGCCAGCCATAAATCGAAAACTTTTAAACACAAATTACTAAATCACATATCTATGTGATTTAGTGTTTTTTATTGACACAACCAAGATGTTGATGCATGTTATGTACATATTTGAAGCTCATTAACAATGTAGAGTGAGTGTAAAATGGAATTTATGATCTCTGTAACTTTTAACGGTGTCTAAAATCAAAATCATCTGTTTCTTTAGCCATTGAGTTATTTATCAAAAGTCGAATAATCAAGAGCATCTGAGTAATTTCTAACCATGTAGCCTATGGCTAATAATTTTTCTCAGAATTAATCTGACAACTGGTGATCTTTTGATGACTAGACAAGCACTACCCAAATGAGTTGGCCTATGTATGGTACCGCTACAATAATATGATGTACAGGCTTAAGGCCTCACTACCTTACCTTTTCTTAAATTTATTTCAACCTATCCTTTGTAAAAACACATAGGCTGTACTATAATTACTGTAGGCCCACCGGTAATTGTTACAAATTATTTTCAATTCAACACAGTTGTATACTAGTTAGGCCTACTGTTGATGGTAATAAGTAACGTAAACATGTTGAAGTACTGGAAGACAATAGTTCAACTATAATATACCATTTAAATGAGTTGGGAGTCACATGATGCTTTCTTTGCCAAAAGTCTAGCAGTTTATTATTAGCAGCTTACTTCTAGTGGGTGTTAAATGTTCTAGAATCTGTTTACAAACTCAGGTCAGTGCAATGTTATAAATATAAACAGAGTCTTGTGTACGCTACCGGTACCTATCCTTACGTTAAAGGTTTAAACTAGGCCTAGCTTAATCTTTTCAGTCTGTGTGTACGTCTGGAACAGAGGCTTGTCACACGACTTAAGTGCTTGATTTAAAAGAAATTGATCTACTGAAACTACACATACTGAACCTACCCTTTGATCCCTCCTTTACATTCTCCACCACCCCTCTCATTTAACGAACCATCTACTAACTTAGATAATAGTGCTTTTGCCATTTAAAGGGGAAGTAAAAACAAGATCGCTTATTTTCCAAACTAGAAGGCAAGCTTCCACGGCCAATGTAAACTTTTCTGTCTTGGTCTTCTGGAAATAATCACTTCATTGGACTGGCAAAAATACTATAAACTAGGTAATCAGTCACAGGCCAAGATTCAACAGTTGGTCTCCTGTTAGATTCAAGGAATGTACTCCTTAACATAATTTGAAAGTTTCACTATTTTAGTCTTCTTGAGTGTAATTTTTGTTTCTTTGCAGGTGTCATGGGAGCAAGAGGGCAAGCCCGTGGTGGAGAGTGAAAGATTCCATCTGCTCCATGAAGGCAACTTCTTCTGTGTGGACGTCGCCCCTGTCACTCTGGGGGACGCAGGACTGTGGATATGTCGTGCCCACAACTCTAACGGAACAGCCACCTGCTTCTGTCATCTCAATGTTCTTGGTGAGTTCATTGATTGTCATTAGATGGATTTGATTGACACACTAGGGGGTGTATTTTAAATAGAAGATTTGATTAATGAATGATTAGTCATGAATCAATGAGAGGGAACAGTTTTATTTACTGCCTAACATCATTAAAATGCTACTAACTTTTATCAGGATTATATTGTGATTTCTAGGCTAGGACTATATATACATTTGAGCTATCCAGCAATATAATCTTACATAATTTACTTAAAACACCCTTGGCCATTGAAATTTAATTTGAGTTGGTCATAGGTTTTCGGACACACTGACAATAACTTATCTCTCCACTCCACAAGTCTTTTGTGGCTTGAAGAGTGCCAGGTCAATTAATGTCTATGTTAATCGTTTGGTCCTTCCATGTCATTCTCTTTTTCTAAGCACAAGAATTTTACTGTCAGGCACGTCTGCTGTTTCTTCAAAACCAGGCAAATTTAGAATCATGGTTTTTAATTTAACTTGGTGACCAAATAAAGCAAGTCCATCTATACAATTTGTATGTACTATTTTACTAAGAATTAAGTGAATGCACTGTTTTATGTCATAACTCAAACTCAACTAACTTTATTTACCTTTTTACAAACATGGAATAACAAATAAACATATGATAATAATTAATAGAAATTAACAGGTGTTATGAAATAAACTGTTCTCACAACATCCTCCCTTTTAAGTTTGAAAGTTCTTCAACCAGCTTGGTTTGTGTATATTTCTCTTTGGACGGTTGTATGGTTCTGTTTGATGTGTATTCGCTGACAAATTTTGTTCACTGTTTTCCTCTCTTAAATAAGGGGCAAGTTTGAGGTGGAATCGATTTCTTCTCACATTCCTCTTATCAGTTTCAACAATATATGAACGAGGGCTGTCCAGGATTTTCACAATTTTGCCATGTCTTCTAAGGTCCACAATCCAAACTGGGTCTCCTATATGAAGAGGATTGAGAGTTTGCACTTTGTGCCTTCTATCATAGTTGTGTTTGTACTTCTCACGATAGGTTTCTTCTCTCCCTTTAAGATCCTTTAGATCTGGTTTTCCACAAAGCAAATGTTCTGTCTGAGGCAATGTGCTCCGTAATCGCCTGTTCATAAGAAGCTGAGAGGGACTGAACCCATTCCAGAGGGGTGTCGTTCGATAGGCTAGAAGCGCTAAATAAGGGTCTTCCACATTTTTCTTTAGAATCATTTTGGCGATTTTCACTGCCGCTTCAGCCTCTCCATTGCTTTGGGAAAATTTTGGGCTACTTGTTATATGCTTGAAGCCATAAACTTTGGAAAATGTCTTGAAATCTGAATGTTCAAGGACTTGAAATTGAGACCCACAGTCAGACCTAATTTCTTCTGGAATGCCGTGTCGACAGAAAAAGGCTTTGCATCTCATTATTACTTCTCGTGATGTTAATGACTCTAATTCAGCTATCTCAAAATATCTGGAGTAGTAATCTGTCACAGTCAAAAACCAAACGCCTTCAAGTTTGAACAAATCCATCGCAAGTGTTTTCCATGGCCTGTCAGGGAATTGTGTGGGAAGCAATGGTTCATGACTGTTCCTTGAATGTTTAATACAAGTAGGGCATGATTTCACCATACTTTCAATGGCTGAAGAAATTCCTGGCCACCAGACTGACTCTTTTGCACGTAAACGACACTTGGTGATTCCAAAATGACCTTCATGTACTCTTTGAAGTGCCCAAGACTGCAGAGCTGGCGGAATTACAAGTCTTGAACCTCGTAGTATCATCTCATTATCAACACTTAGCTCATCCTTAACTGAGTTATACGGTTTTAGGTCATCTCGTAATGATGTCTTAGAAGGCCAACCTTGGATGATTATTTTTTTCAATTCACGTAAAGTCGGATCTTTATTTTGTTCCTCCAATACTTTAGCAACTATGCAGTCGTTTATATCAATGGACGACAAAACCATTTGAACAAACGCTTGAGTTTCTTCTTCTAACTCACGGTCATCAGTACCTGAAAATGGGAGAGGTGCTCTTGAAAGAGCATCAGGAACTAGAAGCTGCTTTCCAGGAATATAAGTAATTGAAAAATCATATCTCATGAGACGCAATCGAATTCTTTGAATTCTTGGAGACAATTCATCAAGATGTTTGGATTTCAAAATTTGAAGTAGTGGTTTGTGATCTGTTTGTATTGTTATTCTCTTGCCAATAATAAATTCTTGAAACTTTTCACATGCCCAAGCAACAGCTGTAGCCTCCCTCTCGATGTTTGCATAGTTTTTTTCAGAAGGAAGAAGGCTTCGGGATGCAAATGATACTGGTCGTATAGAACCATCATCTTGAACTTGAGAAAGAGTTGATCCTAGTCCTTGAAGCGAGGCATCACATGAGATAATTGTTTCCCGATTTACATCGTAAATGGCTAGGCAAGGAGAGTTAGTCAAAATGAGTTTTATTTCATCAAAGGCCTTCGCCTGCTCTGGACCCCATATCCATGGAACGTTAGCTTGAAGTAGTGAATTCATTGGGGCCAAAATCTTAGCTTTGTCAGGAATAAACTTACCAAGAAAGTTTACCATCCCATTGAACCTTTGAAGTTCTTTTACGTTTTTTGGGCAGTCCATTTTGAGAATGGCGGAAACCTTTTCCTTATCAACAGAAATTCCATCGGATGAGAGGAAATGCCCGAGGAATTTAATACTTGACTTCCCAAACTCAGTTTTGTCTTTGTTAAGTGTCATTCCTACATTTTTAAGCTTTTCAAGTACTTGCCGAACAACTGTATCATGTTCTTCTTTCGTTTTGCCCCAAATCAGAATATCGTCCATATGGACTGCGACATTTGAGTGGTTGTCTAAGATTTTGTTCATGCATTTCTGAAAATGTTCAGGTGCTGATGTGATTCCAAATGGAAGTTTGAGAAATTTAAAACGTCCAAAAGGGGTAAGGAAAGTAGTTAGATCCTGGGAATTTACATTTAAGGGGACTTGCCAAAAACCACTGTTTGCATCAAGTTTTGAAAACCATTTTGCTCCTGAGATTGAGCTGAGAGACGTTTCAATTTTGGGAATCGGATGATAAGACCGCTGGATGGATTCATTCAACTTTGTTAAGTCAACACATATGCGGACATCTCCATTAGATTTAGGCACTACTACCATTGCTGAGCACCATTCAGTAGCATGCTCAACTGGTGTGATTACATTATTTTGTACCATACTTTCAAGTTCTTTTTTCACTTGACACATTAGGGGTAAAGGTATTGTCCTAGGAGTGGTTATTGCGTATGGCTTTGCGCCATCCTTAAGTGCTATTGTGTAGGGATCAGGAATGACGCCCAGACCACTAAACATTTCATGGTATTCGGTAAAAAAGTCACTGTCTACCTCTGCAACTGAATTAACAAAAGTTAAAATTTTCAAGTCCTGTATTGCTGGACGACCAAGCAAGGGTGTTATGAGTCCCTTCACTACGTATACCATGTGATTTATTTTAACATCTCTGTATTGGATATTAGCTCTAACACAACCTACAGTTTCTAATTTTGTTCTACCAGCCCCAAACAACTCAACTAGAGTCGGCTGGATCCTACTTGGATCACTACTACTATGCCAGGGGGAATTACTGTTACATCTGCCCCTGAATCAATTTTAAATGTTTGTGGTTTTCCCTCAAATACTAATTCTAGTTTCCAGGGCTTACATTTTGACCCATCCCCAAGTGTACCTATGAATACTTTATTATTTGAAGGTCCAAGTTCACTTACTTCATTTTCGTCAGTTACTTCCTGTGCTTCTTTAGATCTGCAGACTTTCGAAAAGTGACCAATCTTTTTGCATAAGTTACATGTTGCGCTTTTTGCTGGACACGTGCTTCTTGGATGGGACGGTTTATAACCACACCAGATACATTGCGCTGGGTATTCTTGTTTCTTTTGACGAAACCTATATCCTTGATTTTGGTTTGAACTCGATGACATAGTTGCTTCAATTTGGACTCTTTTCTCATCACATAAATCTGCCTTCTCTTTCTTTACGTTATCTGCATGTCTTATTACTGTAATGGCCTTGTCTAAATTTATCTCGGGATCTAGCAACAAGCGATCACTAAGTTTCTCATCATTTAAACCCAGTATTAGTACCATCAACACCATTTCATCATTAAGTGAACCCCAGTCACAGGTTCTAGCCAAGGAATGGAGACTAACTATAAACTCTTCAACTGTTTCATTAATTTTTTGTTGTCTCTTCAAAAACTTTGCTCTTTCAAAAATTAAGTTCCTCCGTGGAATAAAATGTTTGTCAAATAAATCTAAGACTTCTTCAAATGTTAGCGTTGATTCGGTTGCTAAATTAAAAGATGCAAAAATCTCATCAGCTTTCTCACCTAATGTGTATATAAGAGTGTTGATTTGTTTGTTCTCAGACTCTTCAGATAGCCCAGATGCTGACCGATATCTTTGAAATCGTGTTTTCCATCTTGGCCAATCTGCTGGTACAAAGGAGAAACTAGCTGGAGGCTGAATAACTGAATGAGTGTTTGATACAATGGTTGACTTCTTAGTTGAATTGTTGTATTCATTTTCTCTGCTTCTTTCATTTTCATTATCTTCATAGTCAGATTGTTTCCTTCTTGTATTTTTCTTCTGAGGCATAGCTCTAAATCGCTGCCACCACAGGGGTGCCCACAGGGGGGTTTGATGTCGCAAAATGCGACATCAGAAATTTATTTGGGGGGGATTTTATGATTTTGGGGGGGGGGATTCAAGCCAGTGGTTGGTTAAAAGCACATAAAAGATTAACCAGATAATTTTTACTACCTCCTTAATTTATTACTGGGGTAATTATGCAATAAAAATCCCGATATTTTATCTTGATTAATAAATCATTTTATAATTGCTATCAAATATATAGATACTTTTATGTGGATTTCCACTTTCTGACTCGTATCATGTTTGACAGTGAGAACAACTCCATGCCAACTGCTGTCAAAGGATTTATAGTTGGCTTATTAAATTGTATCTGCAATTTGAGTTTGTTTTTACCTTTCATTATGAACTCATTCTCCTCATTGCCTTTAGGACCTATTGATGGTTTTTTAGGTTTGTTTATTATAATATATTCTTGATTCATAAAAAACCAGTATTATGATAATGATAATCATTTTGATATTTTTACAACATGAACAACATGAAAGCTTGTGATAATATTTTGGCTCTCGCAAATAATTATGCCTGGGTCATTTATTCATTGGAAGAAATTGACATACAGTACTGTGACAATTTAATTAAGGTTTTTGATAGGCCATGTGTTTACGTTAACTTCGAGAACTGAAACACATGATTCTGGATAAATTAAATTGTATTTGTTATTGTCTTTTCTTGAATCTAGAAAGAGCTTCAAACAAATTTCACTAGTCTTAGATAGATATATAATTATTTTTACCTAACCCGCCATGTTAAACTTCCCTATCCCAAGCGTGATGTATACAACTTCCTTACTTCTCGAGTGATGTAAAGTTGAAAAAAACTCACTCGGTGATGTAATGAAACCCATTTAAATAACATTGAGTGGATGGTAACTTAAAAAATATACCTCTATGGAGCCATCGACGTTCAACGCTAGAAATCAGCTGCGTGTTTGGATTTTATTGTTATGCTTTGAAGAATTTTCCTAACCTAGCTTTTGTTTGTAAATTAACGTTTATGTTAGAAGATGAGTGAAATTGATAATGAAGCATATTGCTCGTAACCTCCTGAATGTTGTCGGGTCAGGTAAAATCTTGTACGTTACACGTTACGCAAGAGCGTGTTTACATCACTTCGGTGAATTATGCAACTCGCCTTCGCTCGTTGCACAACATTCACCTGCGTGATGTAAAAACGCTCTTACTACACTTGTAATGTAAATAGCTATTTTACGCCACACTACACTATTTTGACGAACTTCCCATGCAAGGATCTAGTCCAGAAAACAGCTGTTTGTCCTTAATCAAATGGGGTTTCATACAGTACTACTGTACTATGAGTTTTGCCGGACACCAATCAGCTGATTATACTGTATTTGGGTGGCAATGAGTGGTTATAACAAAAACATAACCTCTCTTAGAGGTTATGACTAGTGATTTTTAGTCCTTTAGTTGGTGGTAATATATAGGGATTTGAACGGATTTAGTAGTATGGCGTAAACTATCGTACGTCACTCGTCCAAAATGTGTTGGCCGGACTCGTATAAAAAAACCACTACTCCACTTCGTCTGGCACGGGATTCAGGACTAGTAACGTAATAAACTATTTTACCACACTATGATGTTTTTAACTATTTTACACATAGGTACATTAATTGGTGGCTGAAAGTTACGTTTTGCAGGCCATGCCAGCTGTCATCGTCATTCGGGGATCGAGCAGGTTTTTACATCCCTAGGGCTGCAAAATCAGCTGCCCGCTTTAAATACACAACAGTATCCATAGCATTGCAATAGAGTTGTTTTATTGTCACCGCTGCCTAGCAACTATTTATATTATTATTTTTGCTGATTCCTCAAATTATTTATCCACATGACCTTAAAGTTGTAGTTGTGTTGACTATATCAGTGTGCAGTGCATTATCATTGAGGTAATAGGGTATAGTGTGGGGTGGTGAATAATAGCGTTCGTACCACGGACTGAAATGGTTTTGCAGTTCTCGATCGTTTTAAGTCCTCGACCTCGTATCGAACTTAAAAACTACCTCGAACCAGCTAAACCTCATTTTTGGCCTTAGGCATGAAATATAGTATTAAGTTTAGGCCTAGTAAAAGGCCTCTAGTTTAGGCCTCTATGCCGTAGAAATTATGGTTCAAAAGTTATTGCAACTTTTGTGATTTTCCCTTTTAAAACCTGTTAATTCATGGAAAATCGGATAAAAAAAACTACTTGGCCAATTTTGATTCAAATTGTGTGCATGTTAAAAATCCAACTCATTTAAATTAAAACTAAACCAACAAATAGTTTGCTACTAGAATTTTAAAGGAAAATTGTCCATTTAAATTGGGTTAAAAGTTTGATTCAAACGCTTAAATTCCCATAAATTTAAAGAAGTGTCGGGGGCACCCCTTCCCTCCCCACATTATAAACATAACTATGGGTACCCGCATTATAAACATAACCCCAGACCTTCCGGCATGGGTTAAACAACGAATTTGGGGGGGATTCTGCGACGTGAGCTTTGGGGGGGATGGGCACCCCTGTGCCACCATGTACTATTTTACTAAGAATTAAGTGAATGCACTGTTTTATGTCATAACTCAAACTCAACTAACTTTATTTACCTTTTTACAAACATGGAATAACAAATAAACATATGATAATAATTAATAGAAATTAACAGGTGTTATGAAATAAACTGTTCTCACAACACCCTTGGCCATTGAAATTTAATTTGAGTTGGTCATAGGTTTTCGGACACACTGACAATATCTCTCCACTCCACAAGTCTTTTGTGGCTTGAAGAGTGCCAGGTCAATTAATGTCTATGTTAATCGTTTGGTCCTTCCATGTCATTCTCTTTTTCTAAGCACAAGAATTTTACTGTCAGGCACGTCTGCTGTTTCTTCAAAACCAGGCAAATTTAGAATCATGGTTTTTTAATTTAACTTGGTGACCGAATAAAGCAAGTCCATCTATACAATTTGTATTACAATTTGTACTATTACTACTGTAATAGTGTTACCTTCAAAACTAAAACTTATCTTAAGTTATCTACTGCCATTACTAATTACTACTACTACTAATACTATTCATTTTTAAGGGGTCGGTGTTCTTTGATCATTAAGGTTACAATAAACTAGAATTATAATTTGCAGTTCCGAAAGCCTACAAAGCACCCCACTTCATTGAGGAGCTAGTGGCGATATTGACAGAGCAGGGGACCGTCTCATTGGAGTGTAAAGTGGTGGGAGTGCCAACACCTACTTTGCGGTGGTTCAAGGTAGGCTTATCATCAGTAGTTGATCACTTATATCATAGCCTAGATCCAACCGCAAGAACTGACATAGCCTATTTATTTAGCCTGTTAGTCATGATCAACTAGGAGATAAGCTTCAAAAATCAAGGTAGGTAGGGTAGACTGTGAAATCTTGGTCTTTGGCAGAAAATCACGTTGTTGAGCTGAGGAAAACACTGACCAATGTTTGGGTTGCGTTGTCTATTTTGCATAGCCATATCTTTGCAACAAGCTTCAATTCAACTTTTAACAACACAGTCTCCTTAAGATTAAGATTAGACTGTTAGGCGTATTATTAGACAAATTGATAGTTTGAATCATGCACTGTCCTGATTGACCTTGATGGAACTGTGTCTAAGCACTTGTTTACATCATCCACTGCCCAACTCACCCTTAAGCTTTCATGTAGCTTTTCCTGCTTGTTGTTCATGCATGCATATTTATTGAATACCTAATTTACTTAAATTTTCACATTAAGTACTCCATAAATTGCCAAGTAAGGTCCACGAAAATCCTCAAAAAGTTTTGGGATTTTTGAATAGAATGAAGATGCTTTAGACACCTGATTTAGAATCTGTATCGACACATCAGTAAAATGCTTGTCTGCTAATAGGACAATCAAGAGATCAAGGCAGGTGATGTGTTTGCCCTGAGTGCCAACCCACAAGATACAACGTCCCTGGGCACATACACGTGTGAGGCAACCAACTGTATGGGCCACGCATACTCTACCAGCCGCGTACACGTGCTGAGCAGCGAGGGTAGCGTACAACCGGTAGAGAGGTAGGCTACCGATATCCTATCATTTGATTTTATCACAGTTAGGCCTGCTTCTTAGCTAATTAATAATCACACTACAAATGATAATCCGCAAAACGGTGACATAGGTTTGGTTTATTTATTAATTGAGCGGAGCGAGCGAAGCGAGCGAAGCTCTTATACGTCGACTTTTATGCATTTCCTAATACACAAACTCCTCCTAGACGGCTGAATCAATCGTTTTCAAATTTTTGATGGTGGTAAAGACCATATCGGTGAGTGCCAACAACTATAAGCCGTTAAAAATAACTCTCAGGAATCCGCCCCACTGGGTCTCAAAGTTTCAATGTAATCCTTATGGAAGCAGTATTTGACACATAAACAAAGACATCTGATCAGCTGTTGACTTTTGAATGCAGTAGATAAATAAATAGCTGATATCATTATTCCACGGATATTAAAACATAAATGGTGGTATGGATCATAAAATAATCAAATGACGACACAAGCTTGAGGTCCGCGACGTAGGAAGTGTTGAAGGAAGTACTAAAGGTACACAGTCTGGAGTGTGGAAACTGTTTATGACGATTAGATTTAGGTATCTGCATTCCTAAAATTCTATGGGAAGGGAGGAAAACGGATCCGCGACGTAGAAAGTGGTGAAGGAAGTACTAAAGGTGAGCAGTCTGGAGTGTGCAAACTGTTTATGACGATTAGATTTAGGTATCTGCATTCCAAATATTATAAGGGAAGGGAGGAAAATGGGTCCGCGACGTAGGAAGTGATGAAGGAAGTCGTCAAGGCAAGCTGTCCGGAGTGTGGGAACTGCTTATGACCATTATATTAAGGTATCTGAAATCATAAAATGCTATGGAAGGGAGAGAAACAGGTCCGTGGCGTTGGAAGTGGCGAAGGAAATGGTAAAGGCGAGCAGTCCGGAGTGTTGGAACTGTTTATGACGATTAGATTGAGGTATCTGCAATCATAAAATGCTATGGGAAGAGAGGAAAACGGGTCCGCGACGTGGGAAGTGATGAAGGAAGTAGTCAAGGCAAGCTGTTCTGAGTGTGGGAACTGCTTATGACCATTTTATTAAGGTATATGCAATCATAAAATGCTATGGAAAGGGAGAGAAACAGGTCCGTGGCGTAGGAAGTGGCGAAGGAAGTAGTGAAGGCGAGCAGTCCGGAGTGTTGGAACTGTTTATGACGATTAGATTAAGGTATCTGCAATCATAAAATGCTATGGGAAGGGAGCAAAACGGGTCCGCGACGTAGGAAGTGATGAAGGAAGTAGTCAAGGCAAGCTATCCGGAGTGTGGGAACTGCTTATGACCATTATATTAAGGTATCTGCAATCATAAAATGCTATGGAAGGGAGAGAAACAGGTCCGTGGCGTAGGAAGTGGTGAAGGAAGTAGTAAGGTGAGCAGTCCGGAGTGTTGGAACTGTTTATGACGATTAGATTAAGGTATCTGAAATCATAAAATGCTATGGGAAGGGAGCAAAACGGGTCCGCGACGTAGGAAGTGATGAAGGAAGTAGTCAAGGCAAGCTGTCCGGAGTGTGGGAACTGCTTATGACCATTATATTAAGGTATTTGCAATCCTATGATGCTATGGAAAGGGAGGGAAACATGTCCGTCATGTAGGCGAGCTGTCCGGAGTGTGGGAACTGTTTATGACGATTAGATTGAGGTATCTGCAATCATAAAATGCTATGGGAAGGGAGGGAAACAGTTCCGTGGCGTTGGAAGTGGCGAAGGAAATGGTAAAGGCGAGCAGTCCGGAGTGTTGGAACTGTTTATGACGATTAGATTGAGGTATCTGCAATCATAAAATGCTATGGGAAGAGAGGAAAACGGGTCCGCGACGTGGGAAGTGATGAAGGAAGTAGTCAAGGCAAGCTGTTCTGAGTGTGGGAACTGCTTATGACCATTTTATTAAGGTATCTGCAATCATAAAATGCTATGGAAAGGGAGAGAAACAGGTCCGTGGCGTAGGAAGTGGCGAAGGAAGTAATGAAGGCGAGCAGTCCAGAGTGTTGGAACTGTTTATGACGATTAGATTAAGGTATCTGCAATCATAAAATGCTATGGGAAGGGAGGAAAACGGGTCCGCGACGTAGGAAGTGATGAAGGAAGTAGTCAAGGCAAGCTACCCGGAGTGTGGGAACTGCTTATGACCATTATTATATTAAGGTATCTGCAATCATAAAATGCTACGGAAAGGGAGGGAAACAGGTCTATGGCGTAGAAAGTGGCGAAGGAAGTAGTAAAGGCGAGCAGTCCGGAGTGTTAGAACTGTTTATGACGATTAGATAAAGGTATCTGCAATCATAAAATGCTATGGGAAGGGATGAAAACGGGTCCGCGACGTAGGAAGTGATGAAGGAAGTAGTCAATGCAAGCTGTCCGGAATGTGGGAACTGCTTATTACCATTATATTAAGGTATTTGCAATCCTATGATGCTATGGGAAGGGAGGGAAACATGTCCGTCACGTAGGCGAGCTGTCCGGAGTGTGGGAACCGTTTATGACGATTAAATTAAGGTATCTGCAATTATAAAATGCTATGGAAAGGGTGGGAAAAAGATCTGTGGCGTAGGAAATGGTGAAGGAAGTAATAAAGGCGAGCAGTCCGGAGTGTGGGAACTGTTTATGACGATTAGATTAAGGTATCTGCAATCATAAAATGCTGTGGGAAGGGAGGAAAACAGGCCCACTATGTAGGACGTGGTGAAGGAAGTAGTAAAGGCGAGCAGTCCGGCGTGTGGGAACTGTTTATGACGATTAGATGAAGATATCTGCAATCATAAAATGCTATGGGAAGGGAGGATAACGGGTCCGCGACGTACGAAGTGATGAAGGAAGTAGTCAACGCAAGCTGTCCGGACTATAGGAACGGTTTATGGCAATTAGATTAAGGTATCTGCAATCATAAAATGCTATGGGAAGGGAGAGAAAAGGTCCGAGACGTATGAAGTGGTGAAGGAATTAGTAAGGTGAGCAGTGTGGAGTGTGGGATCTGGAAACAGTTTGTAGCAGTTAAATTAATGTATCTGCAATGCTGAAATGTTATGAGTAGGGATGGAAGCATCCCCACGACATAGAAAATTGTGAAAGAAGTAGTAAAGGCTAGCAGTGCGGATTGGGGGGAAATGTTTGTGGCAATTAGATTAACGTATCTAAAATACTAAATTGCTATGGAGAGTGATGAAAACAGGTCCACGATGTAGAAAAAGGCTTAGAAAGTAGTAAAGTATGAGCATAGTGTGAAAACCGTCTGTGGCAGTTAGATTGATGTATCTTTAATTCTAAAAATGCTATGAGAAGGGAAGGAAACAAGTCTATGACGTAGGAAATAATGAAGGAAGTGGTAAGGCTTGCAGTGCAGAGCGTGGGAACTGTCTTTGGCAATTACATTAATATATCTGCAATCCTAAAATGTTATGGGAAGAGAGGAAAATAGGTCCACGACGTAGGGGGTGGTGAAGGAAGTAGTAAAGGTGAGCGTGTTGAGTGTGGGAATGGATTAATGTATCTGCAATGCTAAAACGCTATGGGAAGAGACTGTAGGTTAAAATTATTTCGAAGCACGAATCGATACATTATTCGATACATGCAATCGTTTTTTTAATAGAAATTCACAACTGAGTTGACAACAGCTGATTTTTACTCCATAGAGAATAAAAACTAATTTACACCATACTGCCCTGCTAAGCACAGTTGTGGTAACTGACATTTTTGGGGAAAATGAGATAAGGTTACCATGTGATTCTACACATACTTAGGATCATATAAATAGCCTTAAATGCCATATATGTTGTTGTATTTATTTATAAAATGCTTATTTTCTTTGCCGTATCTGCAGTTTAGGAATGTTTTACTAAGCGCAGTTGTTGTAACTTACATTTACTAGGGTATTTAAGTTGTATCCAACGACAGATACAACGATTTCTCTTAGGAATGATATGTTACCACAAAATGCTTTAGCAATCCATCAGTTACGGCAATTTAGTTTAGCATAATCCCCATTATTGGCCCAGTATTCCTATAAGTGCCGTGTTGTTGGAAACAAAGCTTTTGTCTCTTTGAATTGAGGCGACCTATTATTATCAAATAATGAATTTAATTTCCTTTATATTGACATTCCACTTGGTGATATTGATAATAGTATATTTTTGACATCAACATTTTAACAGAGTTTCTTGTAGGCCTATTAAATGATGAACCTTTCTTTAGAAGAGGTCATTTATTCTGCCAATAATTTAAGCCTAATAAATGAAGCTGTAAGTTAAAGTTTTTACCGGCCAATCTGATGAAATAAATTATGACTTGAGAGAAGGGGTATCTAAATTCAGATAATGTAGGATTGATAAATGAAATTGAGATTTTAACAGGTCAATCTGATGATCTTAATGAAGATGCACCTACTTATGGAAATTACTCAAAACAAAAACGTCCCAAAAAGTTGGTAACATATTTTTTTACAACCTTGGGTTATTACAAAACCAATGATAGGATTATTCAAGATATGTCTAAGGAAAATGGTGTCTCACCAAAACCTGATGGGAGGAAAGGACGAGTTCCCCAAAACAAGATTGACGGAACTTCGATTGTTGATCCCCAATGACCACAAAAATTGTCAAAAGCTATATTACAATAATTGTTTTACAACCATTAAAAAGCATTTTGATTTAAACTTCATATTACACCACAATTTTAATATAAGATTGGAACTATCTTTAAATTGTTTAACAATCAGTATTATGCAGTATACAAAATAACTTTTAATACGAGTTGTAACTATTTTAAAACAATTTAAAATTGTTTTATCCTTAGTTTTGTTATAAAGAATTTTAAAACAATTTTCCAAACAATATTTAAATTGTTTACAAAAGTACTGATATTTAACAGTTGTTTGTGTAGGCCTAGTTCTTAAAAACAAGTTTCAACAATTTAAAAATACATTTTTTTTACAATTTTTAAATTGTTTACAAAATTATTAGTCAATAGTTTGTGTAGTTCTTAAAAAACAAGTTTCAACAATGTTGAAATTAATGTTTAATTTGTTTGATTACATATGAGATGTTTAATCTTAATTAATGGGTTTTATCCCTGTTTTGGCAATTTTTTAAGTCGCCTGCATTTAATTTGGATTATATATACAAACTAAATACGTTTTATCATTCATGTTTATATAACAGCTTAATGCTTTAAAAATTTTGTTTGAAAATGAAATGAAGTAATTGGAAAAGTATTAAAATAAAAAAAATATGTTTATCATTATTGTACAGTTAAAGCATGGTAGTTAATTAGTTCTTCTTATAAGGCTTTTTTTATATATTACAATTGTTTATAATTTAATACCAGTTATGTACGAACCTACATGAATTAACATACATATATGTAGTGTCGTGTGCTTCTATTATAAATACAGTATTGAATTACTTGAATAGGTAAGTTCATAATGCACAAGTTATCGACTTTTGTGATAAGTTACCGATAACGTTGTGATAGTTCCGATACTAGATACAGTGATAGAACACCTGCTTAACATAAAATAATAATTAATAATAAATAAATTTTTTTTTATATTTTAATTGTCTAACTTATTTGAGAAAACTTTTAGTAGGTAGTTGAACAATTTAAGGGGGAAGATTAATTAATCATATAACAATTATAATAACATCACTAATGGTATAATTCATATATATTTAAATTAGGGATGGACGGGATTGAATTTTTAGTTCGGGACGGGACGGGACGGGATTTTTATTTCCTTCCCGATTTTCGGGACGGGACGGGACGGGATTTTTTTCTGTTCATAAAAAGAAAGTACTGTTTTGCAGTTACCAAAAAACACATACGAAATCAATTTTTACCATTTGTGGCACTGATCTATAGAAACCAAAAAATGGGTAACAATTTACAGGTACCTATAGTAACTTGTGACTCGCGGGTCACGGGGTGATCGTCTGTATGACTCACAGTCACGGCGCGATCGTCGTCATGACTCGCGATCACGGCGCGATCGTCGGTATGACTCGCAGTCACGGCGCGATCGTAGGTAGGACTCCATGGTCACGGCACGATCGTCGTCATGACTCGCGGTCACGGCGCGATCGTCGGTATGACTCCGCGGTAACGGCGCGAACGTCGGTAGGACTCCGCGGTCACGGTGCGATCGTCGATATGACTCGCGGTCACGGCGCGATCGTCGGTATGACTCGCGGTCACGGCGCGATCGTCGGTATGACTCGCGGTCACGGCGCAATCGTCGGTAGGACTCCACGGTCACGGCGCGATCGCCGGTATGACTCGCGGTCACGGCATGATCGTCGGTATGACTCGCGGTCACGGCGCGATCGTCGGTATGACTCCGCGGTAACGGCGCGAACGTCGGTAGGACTCCGCGGTCACGGTGCGATCGTCGATATGACTCGCGGTCACGGCGCGATCGTCGGTATGACTCGCGGTCACGGCGCGATCGTCGGTATGACTCGCGGTCACGGCGCAATCGTCGGTATGACTCCGCGGTAACGGCGCGAACGTCGGTAGGACTCCGCGATCACGGCGCGATCGTGGATATAACTCCGCGGTCACGGGGTTATCGTCGGTATGACTCGCGGTCACGGCATGATCGTCGGTATGACTCGCAGTCACGGCGCGATCGTTGGTATGACTCGCGGTCACAGCGCGATCGTCGGTATGACTCGCGGTCACGGCGCGATCTTCGATATGACTCGCGGTCACGGCGCGATCGTCTGTATGACTCGCGGTCACGGCGCGATCGTCGGTAGGACTCCATGGTCACGGCGCGATCGTCGGTATGACTCCGCGGTCACGGCGCGATCGTCGGTATGACTCGCGGTCACGGCGTGATCGTCGGTATGACTCGTGGTCACAGCGCGATCGTCGGTATGACTTCGCGGTCGCGGCGCGATCGTCGTTATGACTCCGCGGTCAGTCGGTATGACTCCGCGGTCACAGCCCGATCGTCGTTATGACTCCACGGTCACAGCCCGATCGTCGTTATGACTCCGCGGTCACAGCCCGATCGTCGTTATGACTCGCGGTCACGGTGCAATCGTCGGTCCAATAATCGCGGCCACGGCGCGATCGTCGTTATGACTCCGCGGTTACGGCGTAATCGTCGAAATTACTTCGTCTCCTGCGTTCGCGGACCTATCGCTCGCAATAACGGCGTTATCGGCACTCGCGAAGCGGAAAAATCGCCGACGATCGGACCAAATCCCGTCCCGAAAAATTCCCGAGTCAAATGTAATCCCGTCCCGATAATCGGGAATATTTTTTTCCCGAAAAATTCCCGAAATTTCGGGACCCGTCCATAATTTAAATACCAGTATGTATCCTCTCCAACTCCCAGAAAAACAATTCAACAACTTGTTGCCAAAACAGAATCATAGTGTCAAAAATATTTCAATCTAGAAATTTTGTTTATTTTGGGAACCTTATATTTTGTTGCATTTGAAACAATAACCATGATTTTGCTAGACGAGTTCGTGGCATCTTCAGAGATACAACATATTGGCTTAGGAAAATTAAGTTGCCACTATATGGCCAAGTATATTTGATTGTAATTGATAAGAACTAAAGCATTATCTAATTTCTTAAGTATTTAGAATGTTTTAATGTTGAAAATAATTTTGGAAAAAGATTTAGCGTTAAAAAATACATAAGATGAGACAAAAAAAATGTTTTTAAGTCAATTTTTGACTGTAGGGCATAGTTTTAAATATACTACCCTCATTTTCTCAATTTTACCCAGATGTCAGTTACCACAACTGTGCTTAGCAGGGCAGCATAGAGGATAAAAACTTTTTTTACTTCCTAAAGAGTAAAATTGCTAGACCCGCAACGCATGCATTAAAACGACTGGTATTACCGCAGTATGACCAAAACAATATAATATAAACCCTTGATGACTACGCTCAATTTTGTGGATGCCTCTGCAAACGCCACCTAGTAGTTTATATTGTCCCATCCCAACCAGTGGTGTAGTGGAGCAGGAATGTGTGAGAACATATATATTGATAGGCGACGTGTACTTTTTCTACAACGACGCTAAGCGTTTGCGCTCTGGAAACTTAGCAACTACACCATTGGCCCCAGTGAGGAAAGTTTTATGATGAAAGTGCTAAAACCCGACAGTCAGATACCTATGTAAAGACCGTGAAATCATGTGTTGTTAAATTATGTGTGCTGAGTATTTAAATTAATATAACACTTTTTCCTTATGAATAAAACAGCTTGGAATGAATAAATAAAAACCTCTAAAATTCATTTTAAGTTCTTATTAGATGAAAAGTCATTGAACAAAAAAACCATGGATGCCCAACACTGGACTACCAAATAGTTTGCGAACAGCAAAAGATTATTTTTTTAATTATTTAACCTTAACCCCATATTTTTCCACGACCTTGGTGAGCGATCTGACACTGGAAAATTTATGTCCACACCACTGTTTGAAAGTAGCCTTTACTCAGCATTTAACTTTATTTTTCATATTTTACAGCCTTGTACCCAAAGGGCCAGCACCAGTGTTTTCGAAAGAACTACGAAATGATAAAGTAAAAATTGGTGGGAAACTATCACTCTCATGCAAAGGTGAGGTTATCAAATAATAAAGCACTCCTACCTAATTCCTGCTTCCTGACTAAGAAAACATGTCTGTTCTTAAACTAATTTACGTTACATGTAAGCTGAACAGATTGTGGACCAAATAGAGCAGCTGATATAATATGACTATTGACTAGAAAAAATGTTCTAGCCTAACTTATTGGATAGCTAGTTTTTAATTACAGTTAATGCACATCAAATATAATACTGTGATAAATATAATAATTTTTATTTTCCTTTACTGATTCTGAACATCAATCCATTTGCCTAATAGGCAAGAGGAACAAATTTTGGTTTCACACATGTAGTTTTAGGGTTTTGTAAGAATAGAAGAGTTATACTAGATCGTTGTAAATTTTAAACGTTAATTTTTAAATTGTAGGCCTACTATTAGCATCTTAATTTATTTCCCCTCATCAAGGAAATTTTTTAGTTACAATTTGTATTAAATTAAATTTAGGCTAGTAGTGTTTTTAATGTTGTGTATCTTTTCTATCAAGTTGTCGTCAGTTAGTAAACACCTGCATAAAGTAAGATGAAAAGCACTGACCATCGTATAGAAATAAAGAATAATCCAAATGTTGAGGAGAAGATCCATGAGGTGGTAAGATCATGTACAATACATTTACTGTTGTGAGAGGGTGTGACTGATGAGACTTGATGTTACAGTCAATGTGCCGCCGTGGCCCAAGACCATCACATGGTTCAACAAGGCAGGCATAGTAGAAGGCGGAGGCCGTTATCATATCATTGAAGATGGGCTGGGAGCTTACAGTGTTGAGGTAGGGAAGAAAACAATTTTTACAATTCTAAAGTATTCTATGTTGATTCTGCTTTTGTTCTAGCATAAAGGATGTGTAATGTTGTATCCAACTGTTAATGAAATAGAAAACTCCTATAAATATCCTGCTTAGTTCTCACCATGTTTTTACAAAAATGTACATTTGAGGGAGTTGCACTAAGTAATCTGTATAGTCTCCCCCACAGTTTAAATTGGCCCCATTTACTAATTAAAGTGGCCTTGTTTTTAAGATATTGTTGGAAATTTGAGGAAGTATGACTGATCGTGATACCACAATTGAATCCTAAATCCTTACTAAAAACTTTCTCCCGAATCATCACGTCACCAGTGTGAGCCAAATGTTTTTATCTTGATCTAAACAACACAATTCATAATCTAAACAACTTGATCCAAACAAGCTAGTCTTTGATGATTTTATGTATTTTCCCAGTGGCAAGAACTAGAAATTAATTTTTTTTGAACTAAGTTACCTTAAGCCTTTGCTCTTGCAGGATGAAGTTATAATTCTCCAATATATTTCACCACAGTGTGTGGCATCTTCAGAGAGTCTTGGAGTTCTATTTATACAGTTTATAGTGTTTATACCTATCGTTATATACAGTTTATGAGTGAAAATTTTGAAACGTACTTTTTTATGTCCCTGGCCTTTTACTTCGTAGATACTGAATATGTAGTTAATCATTATGTGTTTTAATATTTTTTGGGACGAGAGCAACATGTTAAACACAATTATTTGGCTTTAAATAGGTTCTAGGTATTTTTTTCACATTTTTAAACTCTCGAAACTCACGACCGTCACGTGTCCCCAGGGTACATTTTGCAACTTTCATGCTGTTTTTAGAATAATTATTCATGCCGAAATATATAATGTCGTATTTTTATTACATCAATACTGTAGTTATTAATTATTAAACTTACAAAAAAGGAGCATATGATAATTTTGTTTTCATCGTTGGGTTGCCAAATCGTTTGTGACAGTGTTGGCGGTTGATGTAGTATTTTCTATATCATAAATGGTTTTACAACAGTTCAATCATTTTTAAAACCATTTATGACATAGAAAATACTACACCAACCGGCAACATTGTAAATTCACGAACGATTTGGCAACCCCGCAATAGTGAAAGTTCCCTACCCCAACAAAGCCTAGACTTGCAACCTGCAAAACCAACCATCCCTGGCAGTAAGTCAGTGAACAGAGACAAAGACAGTACTAGTGTGATCAGTGGTCCCGGTCCGTCGTGCGTCCGTGCCTCCGCTCGCGTGTTTGCGAAGTCGCTGCGACGTAAACTTTCCAATTTGTGATATGTGTAAAAAACTGTATATAACAATAGGTATAAACTGTATAAATGTGTAAATAGAACTTCAAGACTCCCTGAAGATGCCACACACTGTGGTGAAATATATTGGAGAATTATAACTTCATCGGGCAAGAACAAAGGCTTAAGGTAACTTAGTTCAAAAAACTAATCTTTGTTGCGATCTTGTCAAATACACACATATTGTCTTACATTCATGATATTCCCCAATCTTAGTGTATACTAGGTTTGTGCCATTTTCTACTATCCCTCCACAGTTTTTACTCCACTGTCTCATTCATCCCTTCTCCACATCCATATAGGCCTACACCTCCTCCACCATTTTCTAGGGCTCCCTCTTGGTCTCCTTCCCCTGATCACTGTCAACAGCACTTTCCTCTTCTCTTCTCATTCATGTAGGCCTACCATTTCTAAATATTTCAGTTGTGCTCTTTTTACTTTCCATTTTAAGCTGTCTTCAACTACCTGTTTTCAGATGCCTGAAAACTGTCAATTGCCATTATCTTGTTACCTAAGACATTTTTAAGTGCAACTGATTGCATAGTTTAAGCTAAGGCACACTTTCTGTAACTGTTAACTGTTATGGATGGAATGTGAATGAACAAGTAAGCAATGCAGAACAGATTTTGGTGTAGTGGCGCTTGGGGGTGATTTTGTGTGTTCTTCAACAGCCGCCTCATCTGATCTTTTCATTTCCAACCCAACTCTATCCTAGCTTTTTTTTACTCTATTCATTGTCACACAAAATTTCATGTATTATATTTTAAGACCTACTGTATAACAAAATAAATTGTAATAAACAGATATCTCATTGTTTTCTACAGGTTGATCCTGTGGAGGCCAGTGATGAAGGAGAGTGGAAGTGTGTCGCAACTAGTGACCACGGAGTGAAGGGCATCTCTACCTGCAATGTGTCTGTCTCCTGTGAGTTATTAGATGATTGACAAGTCGCCCTTGTGAAGAAAAACTTATCCAAATCTTAAAATCCATTGTTATATTTGTGATAGCACTAGAACTGCAATATAGACTAATATGGGTTACAATACATAGGCTATCAGCAGTTCCATGGCCAACCAAGTTCAGGAAGCAATCAAAATAAACAAATAAACGAATTACACATATCATGTATTACATATAAACTTACTTACTTACTTACTCCCAGGGCCATTTATATCGGAGGTGATATTTGGCCGCACCAACAAATCTTCGCCAAGTTAACCGGTCTTTCGCATCATCCTCCGTTGCCCCAATTCTCTCCAAATCTTCTTGCACTTGCTTCCACCACCTCTGCTTAGGTCTTCCCCGAGGTCGTCTTCCTGTAGTGTTTCCCTTTAAAACTCTTCCCAGTCTACAATCTTCATCTCTTCTTAATATATGACCAGCCCATCTGATTCTTCGGCACTTGATTTCTCCAATTACATCTGTGCTATTATACAGTTGCCTTAATTCCCTATTGTGTCTTATTCTCCATTCTCCTAGCTCGAATATTGGTCCAAAAATCTTCCTTAAAATTTTATTTTCGAATACTATTAGTTTCTTTTTATCTCTTTTATTTAATTTCCAGGTTTCTGATCCATATAGGAGAACTGGGCAAATTATTGTTTTGTACAGCCTGATTTTTGTTTTCCGGGACAAAGATTTTGATGAAAGTAATTTACATTAATTACATAGTAATTACATATAAACTAGGTTGGCAAATTTAAATTGAGTGATAAAATACTTACTAAGTACTATGTGTCAATACTTACTTACTATGTGTAAATTGGTTTACTTTTCTTTTAGATCCAAAGAACTACAAGAAGCCAAAGTTCTTAGAAAGCCTAAAGGCCATCCTGACAGAAGAAGGACTAGTATCTTTTGAATGTAAAGTGGTCGGCTACCCGACACCTCAGTTGAGATGGTTCAAAGACGGCCAAGAACTGAAACCTGGAGACGTCTACCAACTAACCGGAACAAACTCACTAGGTGAGATCACTAATTGACCCTATAGTAAACCCTCATTCAACGAATCCCTTAAATACGGACTTTGCCAACTTGGCCAACTTACTTGATAGCATTCTACAAATTTCATGCTGCTAAGGACACTAAGGTTAAGAATGTGCCACTATTCACTGTTCTAACAATCATAATTAAATGACAGGATCATATTGCTGCATCGCAAAGAACTGCATGGGAGAAACGAGCAGCACGGCTGAGCTGACAGTAGAAGACATTCAGAGTCAGCTGAGCGCGGAGGAGCGACTACAGCTGTTCAGCAAGAACCAACCTCCGCGCTTCCTACAGGGACTCAAGAGTCTGGAGGCCAAGATCATGGACCCACTCAAGTTTACTGTCCAAGGTATGTCTGATATTAATTATATGATAATCTTTTGCATGAAATCTTTGATGAGATGAATCATGCTCTGGCTCAATCCTGTTATTTTTCTCTACTCACCCAACAACCTTGTCCAAATGTATTAAAAGTTGGTTGCAAAAAAATTGTAGGTAAATGGTTGAGAAAATGTAATCAAGAGCTGTGTAATGAATGTTGTGGTAAATTTTGACTGTTATGTAATCTAATTAATCACCTTAATAGAGAAAATATCATTTGATCCACTATATTCAATCAGCTCCCCAGCTATATATATGAGTTACAAGGTATTTGCCAAGTATTATTTTGTTAGTTTGTTACAATGAATTATTTTGATTGTGTCTGCCTTACAGGCTAATGAAGCTTGAATGTGTAAGTTTTTTCCTAACAAAACCAATAACTATAATATGTTGAGCCCTTATCACTTGTTTTTTTTTACCTAAAACAATAAAAACTACTGTTTTCAGTCGGTTTTTCACATAATTTTCCAAAGCAACCAATCAAATTGTTATCATGAGACCCAATACGACAATTATTGGCCGAAATAGACTATGTCTTTTTAAAATCTGTTTAATTTTCTGTCTCAAAACTCATTAAATTATAAGTGTAACTACATAATTTTGGAACTAATGTTCATTTTAAAGCCCCAGCATTGCGTAATACAACTAATTTTGTTTAAAACATACGTTGTCAAACAATCCTGGACATGTGAACTCAAAGTTGACTTACTAAATGTGTTTTGAACGTTATTCTAAACTCTGTCATCACCTGGCTACAAAAGCTCTTCTGTTAGGTGTTAACAGAATTACTTACTACATACAACCAAGCTTTGCACATTAAACGAACACATCAATGCACATCAATGTGCACATTAAATAATCACATTGAGGTGAGTTAGGAATGGTAGCCGAGTCTTGTCAGTGTTGGAAGACACCTTTTGTATGCGTAAAAAACATCAACACATTACAATCCTAATCAAGATGTTTAATTTCACTTGTTCAATGTGGCAGTGAGTGTGTCTCCCCAGCCCACTGTGGCGTGGTACAGGGATGACGAGGAGGTTCAGGAGTCTGACAAGTACAAGAAGGAGCAAGAGACCAAGGGAGTTTGTCATCTCTCCATTAAACGGCTGGAGCTCGTGGATCAGGTGAGTACTTTACTTAAAACATAGGACTTTCAGAAAACTTTTAAACTTTTGTTGTACTCATAAAAAAATGATTATTACATTCTCCTTTCAATTCAGGTTTTGTTTTAACCCTTTATACACCTCGGATTATTCTGTGTTTTAACTATGCTTCTTTTACGATTCCCTGATCTTACGAACACAAAAATTGACTTTGTTAAAATGAGATTTTACCAGAGATACACATTTTTTACATGTTTTTCAAATCAAACAGCTGGCACACTTATATCAATCATCCTGTATGTGTTTACCAAACATTACCAAACATAGCCGGACACGGAAAGTAAGCAAGTAAGTACCAAACATTTATTTCAAAATAGTATGGGCTTTTGTTTTCACATGATGAGAGAAAACAAGATAAAATACACATAGTTAAGTAACCAAATAATGTATAGTGTCCAATCCAAAGTTCAAAGGATTAACTTGAATTGAATGTAAAATCAATTGGGACAAATTGGAATATATTTAAATTTTTACGAAAAAAAAAACTCAACTTCTGGTTAGTTCTGCCATAAATAAAACATACTCCCCTAGTAGATTTCTCATGCTAATGCTTAGGACAATTTTATTGTTAGTTCTGTACGGTGTACTGCAGAGGTTGTGCTTTGTTTACAATTTGTTACTTGTTATTTCAATCGTTTAAAACCTCGTTGAACCTAATAATACAACCTAATCATAAACAATAACTCATCCCCTAGTTATAGGAACCAAACAGTTAATCACAAATCAAGAAATCAACCCTAAATAATAGAAACAAAATTTAGTTGACTAGCCCCCAGTGTTACTGTATATGAACTAGACACGAAAAACAAGCTTCTAAACGTTCAACTTACTTACTAACTGATGGGGCGACACAAATCTCAGTTGATTTTTTCCCTCGTAGATTAGCCGCCTCCACTCTTCTCTATCCTCCGCCATCCGGATTTCTCTTCCGCATTGGATCACATCCTTTTTGACTTGGTCATACCATCTTAATTTAGGCCTACCCAACGGACGTCTTCCTGTTGGTTCGGCCTCACAAACCTCCTTCAGTCTTTTGCCATCCTGTCTCTGAAGTACATGACCTAGCCAACTAATTCTTTTGGCTTTTATAAGCGCTATTATATCAGGCTCTTTATATAGGGCACGCAGCTCTCTATTTTTCCTAATGCGCCAAACTCCTTCTTCATAAATTGGGCCAAATATTTTCCGAAGTACCTTATTTTCAAACACCATAAAACGTTCTTCATTTCTTTTGGAGAGGATCCATGTTTCACTTCCATACAATAACACTGGCTGTATATTTCAAAACTTACAATGTTATGAGGAATCTATTTGTGTTGGTTAGTCTATGGTTTCGCTAAAAAGGGAAATAATAAATTGTTGCAATGTCGTCCAGGCCGAGTGGAAGTGTGTGGCCACTAATGACTACGGCCAGAGTGTAACCTCGTGTTTCCTCAAACTGGCCGTCCCTCGACATTACAAGAAGCCTCGATTCCTGGAGAATCTTCGAGCCGTACTGTCAGAGGAAGGGGCTGTCAACCTCGAATGTAAGGTAAGACAACATAAAGATACATTGGATAGCATATTTTTTTAATGTAATGTATAAATTACAGATTTTTTTAAAATATCAGGTCTAGTTTCATAACTGATAAGCTATGATACTAGCTGTAGTTTGAAACTAGTGGTGGGTTATTTCTTATCTTTCAAAATACAAGTTAGGCCATTAGATATACATAATACACAAATATTTAAGAGTAAGTGAGAAAAAACATTATTTTAATCCAAGATGACACTATTGATGACAGAAGACTACCTTTAAGACTTGTGACCTTCATATTTAAATTTCAAATTATAAGCCTACTCATGTATTATTTCCCTCAAAAAACATAATGATCACTGAAAAAATTTTGACACTCTGCAATTGAATGACAAAACTAGCACTTTTACAAAATTTCAGTAGTTTTGAAGATTTGATTCGTGGTTATGTTTTGACTCATCACTACTTAGTTTTTAGAAGTAATGATCTCTCAATGACTCTTTTGAGGTGATACAAAATATTGCTTTTGCAGGTGATAGGCACTCCCCAGCCCACTCTCAAGTGGTACAAGGATGGTCGGGAGCTCAAGCCTGGAGACATTCACCGTATCATCTCTGGTCAGGACGGGACGTGTTGTCTGGGCACGTACACATGTGAAGCGACCAACTGTATGGGCTCTGTGTCCAGCTCAGCCTCACTGCTGGGCTTCGAAGGTAACCAGACATTCCATAGCATACAGTTAATGTTAATCAATACTGGGCACGTACACATGTGAAGCGACCAACTGTATGGGCTCTGTGTCCAGCTCAGCCTCACTGCTGGGCTTTGAAGGTAACCAGACATTCCATAGCATACAGTTAATGTTAATCAATACTGGGCACGTACACATGTGAAGCGACCAACTGTATGGGCTCTGTGTCCAGCTCAGCCTCACTGCTGGGCTTTGAAGGTAACCAGACATTCCATAGCATACAGTTAATGTTAATCAATACTGGGCACGTACACATGTGAAGCGACCAACTGTATGGGCTCTGTGTCCAGCTCAGCCTCACTGCTGGGCTTTGAAGGTAACCAGACATTCCATAGCATACAGTTAATGTTAATCAATACTGGGCACGTACACATGTGAAGCGACCAACTGTATGGGCTCTGTGTCCAGCTCAGCCTCACTGCTGGGCTTTGAAGGTAACCAGACATTCCATAGCATACAGTTAATGTTAATCAATACTGGGCACGTACACATGTGAAGCGACCAACTGTATGGGCTCTGTGTCCAGCTCAGCCTCACTGCTGGGCTTTGAAGGTAACCAGACATTCCATAGCATACAGTTAATGTTAATCAATACTGGGCACGTACACATGTGAAGCGACCAACTGTATGGGCTCTGTGTCCAGCTCAGCCTCACTGCTGGGCTTTGAAGGTAACCAGACATTCCATAGCATACAGTTAATGTTAATCAATACTGGGCACGTACACATGTGAAGCGACCAACTGTATGGGCTCTGTGTCCAGCTCAGCCTCACTGCTGGGCTTCGAAGGTAACCAGACATTCCATAGCATACAGTTAATGTTAATCAATACTATCCATACAATCACTGACAGTTGAACCCAATAGTGAACCATAAAAAAGCCACTGGAGAGTAGTGTGCTCTTGAAATGAACTGTAGAATACAGTTAAACATCTATTATTTACTAATACAAGACCCCGTTTCTTCAAGTTTGCTTCTAAAATGTTCTTCAGTTTAGTAAAACCTGTGGAAGGATATAAGATTAATGATTATTTTGAAATGTAGGGAAAGTTTAAATACCAAGGGTTTTCTTTTTGATCACCTTTGCCCAATCAATATTATTACTTCCTTAAGCTTCCCTTAAAAGATTATATGACCATGAGCAAAGTATGATAGGATAAGAAAATAAATATATTTTGGCTGAATTCATAATTTAAATTTACCTTAGTGTAAAATTTTAGGCCTGTTCTTATAGATGGATTTACTTACCAAACAATATAAGGATAATTTTACCAAACAAAGACTTCAGGGTGTAAAACATTGTTATTAAATTAACGTGAAAGTTTGGTTGTTTTTTGTCAGATCGAGCACAAGTAAAGCCCCAGACAGAGCCACAACGGCCACTACCACCCCCGGCCGCCCACCTGGTGCGACACCCGTCATTGTCTACCATCTTGGAGGAGAGGACGTCCCAGCTGCACGACACAGTGGCTAGTGACGAGCGAGCAGAGGTATGGTATTAAAATCTAAGCTCCCAGTTATCTGCTAGGAGAGGGCATCCACAGATATTAATTTCAAGAAGAGCAAAAAAGTGTCTATGTCTATGTATCCGTAGAAAATAGTGTCCCTCGCAAAAATCCTTATTCTTTCTATTACAGGCAAGTTACAAGCTGTAAAATGTGGCGATGGACAGAATTGAGTTTTTAGTTCAAGACGGGATAGAACTTTTATTTTCCTCTGTGAAAAAATAATTTTTTCCCTGGGAACCAATGTAAACATCTCGCACATTTATTTGCGGAGACATTATCATCATCACCCGCCATACCTGTGACATCTCACGCCATACCTGTGACATCTCACGCGGAGATGTTGGATCAAATCGTGGAAATCGCTGACAATCGGATCACATCCCATCCCAAGAAAATATTGAATCAAATGTAATCCTGTCCTGATGATCGGGAATATTTTTCTTCCATTTTTTTCCTGGAATATCAAGACCCATCCATCCTTATAGAAGAAAGTGGTTTTTATTTTGGAATCTTTATTATATATTTCTACACTCTAAATAATCATACAATAGACTTCTTCTAGTGCATTAATTTTATTAGTTTTACTAAAAAAAAAAATAAAAAACATCCCCTACCTGTTCTTGATTTTCTAGAAAGATTTTGCATTTACCCACAAGTCGTCTTTACAAACATAACACAGATAATAGATTCAGAATAGTAAAAAATGTGTTATGTTATTTATTGGACAAAGTTTGATTTCAAAATATTTAAACATTACAGATTACAATATAATAAATTTGAACAAAAACTATTCCTCCAAAAAAATGTTTGTATACAAGTTTTGCACCATAAGATTGGTAATATTAGGTACAGTGTTTCTGGCTTATGCAGAGGGTGGGAAAGTAGCCAACAAGTGAAAAACATCATCCTATCTGTCTAAAGAATCCACAGAAATACTCGTAGTATCCACAACTATTTCTTTCTCTTATTATTATCATTTATTTATCTATTCACTCAACACAAAGCCTTATAAAAGGCTTGTTTGCAGCAATAATTGATTTTACTTTTGTCTTTTAATTTAATTGTTTTGAGTCAGTTATATTATTAGTTTTCCTTATTTCTATACAGTAAGAAATATTGAACTAACTAACCTATGTGGATATATCTTTTACCCATCCCGTATTATAAAAAAATGAAGCGGAAATTATGGTCACCAATCTGGCAAGTGTTAATATTCTTACTTACTGGAGTGGCCACTGGTACCCTAAGAGGTACTTGGCCTCGCCCACACACTGCCTCCAGATGTCTCTGTCTTTGGTGTCATTTTCACTCCTTCCCAGTCTTCTTACATCTTTTTGTGCTTGATCCTTCCATCTAAGTTTGGGACGGCCTCGTGGTCTTCTGCCTTCGGGGTTTCTATCATGTACATTTCTCGTAGTGGAGTCTTCCTCTCTTCTCGAAATATGACCAAACCATCTCAATCTTCTGCTCTTGACTTCCGCTATGATGTCGGGGTCTTTACAGCGCTCTCTAATCTCGATGTTGTGTCTCATTCTCCATATTCCATCTTCGAGCGTCGGGCCATATATTTTCCTGAGAACCTTGTTTTCAAATGTTATAATTTTTTTTTCTATTTTTTTGCTCATTGCCCATGTTTCTGAGTGTTAATATATAACTATTAAAACATATTTTTGAGCTGTCTTAAAGCAGGAATTCTCTTTTAAAGGTTTACAATCTTTTTGAAGGTTTTAATCCAAAATGAAAATACAAACTACAAACTAGGGTAAATTGAAAATTTACAAGTGTTTAAGTGTTCAATAACCTATGTGCAAGAATAAAAATTTAAAGATAGTATGATATTGTTGTAGGTTTCGTTCTCCTTTGATGGCAAGGAAGTGTCTGTTTCTCTTTATGAAACACCAGATCTCACGGAGGAAGAGGCTTTACAGGTGGTCGAGATGTATGCAGAGGAGTTGTCAGAACATATTTCAGGTATGACTCCGTTACATGTGACTAAATGATTTAAATCCTAAATTTTATTGAAGGTTTTTGTGCAAATGCTAAAAGTGGAAGGTTAAAAAAAAAACTCAAACAGAAAATATGGGCATTTTATTCAGAAGAAAACTACATGTACAAACATTAAATTAAAAGTATTATTTTAGAGAACAGTTCTAAAAGAAATAAAATAAACACAACCTTTAATTTACGTCACAGCATTATTCATGGTGTTGTTCTGAGGATGTCACTATGTCGATTTAGACATATTTTTCAGTCTACTTAGTTGACATGACAAACGTATCCATTGCTAATGGTTTGAAGTGTGAATTTCAAGAGACGAGGTTATAAACAACTGAGTGATCACTTGATTGTTTTCACTTTTCACTAGTGTCAGTTATGTATCTCAACTTGCAGGCAAGGCTTATATAGGCGCCTTAAAATAAGAAAATAAATAGCAAAACCTAGAAATAATTAGAACACAGATGAAACCATTGTTGTTCGATAGTGAAAAGTATTGTGAATAACATATCAAAAGTCTCCAAAAATATCTTTGGTGGAACACCACCATTTTTCCAAAATGGCGGCCAAATCCAGTAGTTTTTTTCTTTTTATTGAAATTCTGACTTTCCAGTCAATATTGGTGAAAAGTCGTCAATAAATTTAATGTTCCTCCTGAAATTACCTTTAAAATGATACCAAATACATGTACCTACAACAAAAAATAAACCTTGTTGAAATAATAAAATATTGCAAATAAAAATATGTTTTATAAATTAATGTAATAGTCCAAGCAAACTAAAAATAACGTACACAGGGATTGTATAAAAATTTGCAAGTAAACATGTTATAGTTTTATTTTTATTGTTGTGGTGTGCAGAGTGACATACCAAAAGTTGCAAAAAATCAGTCCACGGGAAACCCCTAAATTAAGGAAAAAATTGCGGCTTTTTCCAATATTGGACAAATTTTGCAACATGGTATTGGTATCTTTTCCACATGTTTTTTTGCACATTTTTCGAGATATTGACTTGGAACCACGACCGATATTTCTTGGATAGTCCGTACTTAATTTCAATAGGGAACGCTTTTTGGGCCGCCATCTTGGATCAGCCATATTGGATCTGCCATATTGGATATAAATATTTTTTAATGTAATTATAGTGTTGTGACACATCATTATGAACTAGATTTCCACGCTGATTTCAATGCTGAAATCAGTTTTTTAAATAGCGTTTTACGATTTTAAGATATATAAAAACGAAAACTCTCCCCCATACATTTCTTATGGACGTTTCGTACTTTGACAATTTAAAAACACATTGAAAACTACCACAGTCTAAGGATGTACTATCAGGTTCAAGTATGGCGTGGAAATAGTTCACCAGCAGATCCAACAGATTGGGAGTGGTGTTTGACTGATGGTACATATGACTAACTTACTTATAAATAACTGTACTTATAAATAACTGTAACTGTGTAACTTGGAAATTATATTTAGATAAATATAGGATATGGCCTTTAAAAAATTTCAACAAAATGTTTTATGGTTTTATTTTGTAGTGTTGTGCAGAGTGACAACGGGAAAACTCGTCATAGCTATTGGTTCAAGTATTGACTTTTATTTTAGCTATGGATTCCTTATTGGGAGTTATTTAGAATTGGGGATAAATGTCTTTATCTAAGAAAAATTTCAAAATAACAATAATTCATTCAATAGTTCATTGAAGGTAGGCCTGCATGATTCGTTTTAAATTTGTCATGTGTCATTTAATAATCAATAAAAATAAAGCCAAACATTTACTGAGTACTTTGATACCAGAATGAACTTGTTAACATATTAACAACCCGAGATATAAATCTTTTAACAAAAACTGATAAAGAAAAGTTTAATTTAATTTTGTTTTGGGGTTGTACCTCGTCTATAACTAGTCTGTTTTAACTATAAATAAAACAAAATGAAAGCTAACTAAAATGAAAGATCTTTTATCACTGAATATTTTAAGGCTAGAACGAACTGCAAGCAATAATAATACCTGGAGAAAAATAATCCAAACACATTTTCAAAGTAACTTACGATACGTCCATAACTGATGTATAGGGGAGAGTTTTCGTTTTAATATATCTTAAGCAACGAAAAAACTTATTTAAAAACGGATTTCAGCAATAAAATCAGCGTGGGAATCTAGTTCATAATGATGTGTCACAACACTATAATTACATTAAAAAATATTTATATCCAATATGGCAGATCCAATATGGCTGATCCAAGATGGCGGCCCAAAAAGCGTACCCTATTGAAATTAAGTACGGACTATCCAATAAATATAGGTCGTGGTTCCAAGTCAATATCTAGAAAAATGTGCAAAAAAACATGTGGTATCTTTTGTTGCAAAATTTGTCCAATATTGGGAAAAGCCGCCATTTTTTCTTTAATTAAGGGGTTTCCCGTGGACTGATTTTTGCAACTTTTGGTATGTCACTCTGCACACCACAACAATAAAAATAAAACTATAACATGTTTACCTTCAAAGTTTTATACAATCCCTGTGTCTGGTTTTTTTTTAGTTTGCTTGGACTATTACATTAATTTATAACAAATATTTTTATTTGAAATATTTTATTATTTCTACGGGGTTTATTTTTTGTTGTAGGTACATGTATTTGGTATCATTTTAAAGGTAATTTCAGGAGGAACATTAAATGTATTAGCGACTTTTCACCAATGTTGACTGGAAAGTCAGAATTTCAATAGTAAGCAAAAAACTACTGGATTTGGCCGCCATTTTGGAAAAATTGTGGTGTTCCACCAAAGATATTTTTGGAGACTTTTGATATGTTATTCACAATACTTTTCACTATCGAACAACAATGGTTTCATCTGTGTTCTAATTATTTCTAGGTCAAACCACATATTCAGGGGCCTATATAATATAGGTCAGATTCATGGAGTGTCGAACTAGAGTGGTGCCGGTTTATAGAGGGTCCACTGTATTATTATATTGGAATTTGGTTTATGTGAAGATTTTTGTTTAAGGGGTTAATTGTGATTTCAGGGTTGCAGGAAGTGAAAAGCTTAGGTATGATAAAACTTGTGATGGCAAAATTTGTAATGTAAAAAGCCTTTGGGTCAGGCTGAGCTTAATTGCTTTGATTTCATTTTTTAAAAGTTTGCTAACAATAACTACCAAGTTATCAAAACTTTTATCAACTAAATAAAAAGTGTTTTGACATTTTTTCTTGAAACTAGGGTAAATTAGCTTGACGTTACTGGTTTTAAGAATTGTCGCCCACCACCAGATATAACCATCAAACCTACTGTAAGAAGTTTCTATTTATAAGATAATAAGAGTAACACTAGAAACATGATAAATATTAAATAGGCCTCAAACAAATCAGCATTGTGATTTAACAATTTCAATATAGACATATTTAAATAATTTTTTGCTCATGGTTTTTGTAAATAACTTTTGTGGTGATTTTCACTGTTCCTTGTTTTGGTGTGTGTTTTACTCAAAATAATAATTTTACAAATTTGGAAGATGGCAATTATTTATGTATGTTACACAAAATTTTAAAATGCATCAAATAAATTTAGGTTCATTGCCATTTTTGTTGAAAGGTACAATCTTTGAATAAGAAGTCTATTTAGGTGGAAAAACTCAAGAATTAATCTCATGTTATTTACTGTATAGTCTAAAGTACAGTACAAGCTAATGATAGGCAGATTTTTAAAGTAGTTAGGCTTTCACAAACATCATTCATGATCAAACTTATTCCGAACTCCTGCATAAAGAAAAAAAAAAATTGGGTTTTTATGTTTGTACACATTTTACTTATTTTTACAGAACACAATGTTGTGGAGCTTCCTCCCATGAGATTTGTAAAAGAGACTTCTCAATCCGGACATTTGTTGATGGAAGCTGTTGTAATCGATGTCAGTCCTGAGTATTACGCTTCTGCTGAAGATCGTACAGAGGCTGATCTAGATGAATTCTCTATAACAGAAGACAATGGCTTCATGTCACCACAAGTTATTACACCAGATGAAATGCCATTTGACAAATTTACCACAGACTTCATGGAACTTACTGCTCAGTTAGCACAGAAAGCTGCTCCCACCAAACCTCCCAGGAAACGGGGAAATGATAACAGTGAATCTTCTTATCATAGTGTAAAAGAAGCAAAACTATCACCAGAAGAGGAAAGTAGTGAGTTTGCTGATGCGCTTAGCTCCATCAAAGACAAATCCCAAAAAGAAAACTATAGTAGTGCAAAGAGTGTGATGGAGGAAAGTGGTGGATTACCAGCTGGTAGAATAGAACAAGAACCAGAGTCCAAAAAGACAGATATTTCTTCACAATTGAAAGATGATAAGTTAAATGAGAATAAGAAATCGAGGAAAAAATCAAGAAGCAGATCGAGATCTGCTGAAGTTCAAGCAGATGAAAATGTTTCTGGAACGTCAACGGAAAATAAATCTCTAAAGAGACCATTGAAGAAAAGAAGATCAACAGACTCTGAAAAAGAAGATGATTCTCTTCGTGAGTTTGAAAGACAAAAAAGCTTAAATGCTGATAAAGAAGGAAGTGACCTTGAAAAATTAGAACTCAAAAGTAGATTAAAAAAGAAAAAATCCTCTGAGTCAGAAAGAGAAGATGATTCATTACAAGAGTTTGAGAGTCGTAAGTCCTTTCATCAAACTGACAAAAAAAGTGAAGCTGAAACTACTTCAAAATCAAAGGCAAAATTAGTAAAGAAACAGTTGTCTGATTCTTCTGGTAGAGAAGATGATTCACTAATTGAATATGAAAAGAAGAAAGTATCAAGTGAGGGCGCTACTGAAAAGCCTCTGAAATCAGAAAAGCAAGAGAGACAGAAAGCTCCTTTATACAAAAGCATTTCCACAGATTCGTCTGAGAAAGATGAGGCTTATGAAGTCGGTAATGAACAATCAGAACACTCTAGAAAAAGAAAAAAGAGGTCCCTTAAGAAATCCAGTCCAACTAAAAAGGATAATAGGACTTCAGAAACTAACGTAGAAATACCTCACTCATCAGAAGCTGAGTCGTGTGACAGAGAATCGCTTAAAAATAAGAAAGTTATTAGTACCTCTGATCTAGATAGAATGAGAAGTATGTCTGACCTTGATAGTATTGGGGATAAATCTAGAGCTCAGGAAGAAGAAGATCGTTCTGTTGACTTTGATACAGCAGAAGATAGTGCCTATGACAAAAGTGAAATGTCTGTCCTGGAATCCTTGACTCATTCAATTAAAGAAATTAAAAAGAGTTTAGTAGCTGTAGAGGAAACAATTATTTCTGAGTCCACAGATGAACCCCAATCTGCAATGTCTAGCTTATCAGCGATCGAGTCTTTAGCTCTGCCAATAAACGAGATTCAGCGTGGACTAATGGAAGTTGAAAAACAAGCGGAAGAGACTGAAGCTGGACAGTACTCGCCTAGCTCAATTTTAGAAACTCTAAAAGAACCAATACAAGAATTGGGAAGAAACTTAGCTGAAATTGAGAAAGCAAAGCTCTTAGAAAGTGATGAAGAATCCCTCCTTAAAAGGACAACCCAGACTTTATTAGAAAAAGTGAGTCACCCATTGCATGAGCTACAAAAAGAACTTACATTTATTCAACAGCAAGCTATAATTGAGACTGGTGAACAGAGCTATTCAGATGTTCTTCAATCTTTTAAACCTTCTTTGTTAGTTGTTCAAGGTGGAGTAGAGCAAACAGAAGGTGATTTTACTAGCAAGTTCGAGGACTTGACAGATGTGACTGTTTTTCCACAAGGCACTTTTGCTCAGCAAACAGAACAAATTCCAAGTTCAGTTGAAGAGCTCAAAATTCAGGAAGTACATGAGATAAAAGAACACAATGTATTGGTTCCTTCAACTGTACAAGAATTGGAAGTAAGTTTAGCTGAAACAGCAATATCTCTGACTACTCTAGGAACTTTTGATTTACACAATGAATTAGAAGTGCTCTCTGCAAAATTGGAAAAATGTTCAGGTATTTTACGTGATAAAGTTGAAAATACCATTGATGGGGAAATAAAAGACATTCTTGTGTCTGTAGGACAACTTGTTACACCCTTGGAACAGTTTAAAAATGTGATTGGAAAATGTCTAAGGCTAGTTGATGAAAATGATTTGTCCAACAATCCTCAAGTCAGATCATCGAACATGGTATTAAAAGCCACGTTAGAGAGCCCTGTTCACGCTTTAGGAAAATGCCTTCACTTATTGGAAGCTGTATCTAATTTTTCATCCAATGAAGAAGTGAGAGGTTTAGGTATTAAAATTCTATACAAACTTTCATTTCCTTTAGAAGAACTAAAAACAACTATGAAGCTCACAGAAAATCTATCAGAACATACTTCAATTGAGTTACTCGTATCTCCAGTTGAAAACTTGATTGCTGCAGCTTCAGTTATTAATTTGGAAGCATCGAAATCTGGTTTTGCTGAGAATATTCCAGTTGAAGGTGGATTTATTGTGACAGAACTACATGATAGTGTTGGAGTGTTACTGAAGTCACTTACAGTAATGACAAAGTCTCTGTATTCTCAAAGTAGTTTGCGCACCCTATCCTCTCTTGTTAAGCCATTGACCGACCTACAAAACAGCTTGCACAAGATGGGGAGTAAAATTAAGACACCTGACGAGTGTAATACAATAAATACATCAGAGATATATGATTTAGCCCAGGAATTATGTAAGCCCCTGCAAGCAATCAGAACAGAGTTGTCAATAGCTCAACACGAAATTGAACTTGACCAATATAGTCAGTTATCATTAACCACTGGTCCTAGTATGGATAGTGAAAATGCAAATACAACAGAGGTTGCTACAAATATTGTGCATCAGTCTTTAGATCAAATGCTTAAAAGTGTCCTGACTTGTACAGAGTTTGTTTTGTCCAAATCACCTAGCGAAACATTATATGTTAGGTATTTACTCTTTGCTTTGAATGAGTTGATTTTACCAGTCAACCAATTCAAATCAGGTATCTCAAAAGCTGAAGAGTGCTTTGCAAAGGAAGACCAAAAGATATCTGAGCCGAATATTGGAATTTCTGCTGTTGCTTCATCAGCAAGTGAACTTCTCAGTGTATTGTCTGAATTACGCAATCATTCCTTATATGCCAGTGGACTCCCTGAAATCCAAATGATTAGACTTTTATGCACCATGGAAGAGCCTTTGTTGAAGGTGGAAAGAGGACTGTGCAAAGTCATCGAACATACCCCTACAGATGACAAAAATATCTTGAATATCAACATGCTGAAAACCTTGGCGGAACCACTAAAATGTTTACAGAAATCTCTTATAAACATCTATGAAAAACTTGGATCTGAATCAGCCTCACAAGGAGTAGTTTTGAAACTGAGACAGCTAATTCAGGAATTACAGCGAAGTATTTTAATAATTCAAGATCAAGTATCGTTTGAATATGGAGATGAACCAACCTCGATTGAATCAAATATTGACACATTACAGTCTTTAGTTAATCCCTTAAATGCTATTAAAAAACTGTTTGTGGAATTTGATGTGTTGATGATTGACAGGTCTCAGTCGACTGGATATTCAAAAACAAATGAAAATTTACATTCCATTATCAAAATAAGTCATGAACTTCAAATGATGTTGTCATCAATCATGGTAGAAGAAAATTACATAAACAAACATTCCTTAGACAGTTTAGATATGTTTCCAATTTTCCAAGATATAAGTAGTTTACTAACGGATTTAGAAAATGCTTTTCGAAGAATTGATCTAGTTTGCCAAAATGAAACTAATCCTGATATAACCGTATACAATAAGTTATGTGAAGCTGTAAGCTCAATCAAAAATGAAAATGCAAATTTGTATGCTAAAATAACACTTGCTTCTAACAAAGCAACAAATGACAAAAAACATCCTGTGCATTTAGTAAAAAAAGAATGTGAACATTTTATCAACAAATTTTCTGAAATATCTAAAGATTTGGAAGATAACAAAATGAATGAACCAACTTTAGCTTACTGTACGATGAAATTTTATCAAGATCTCCAAGGGAATTTGAAGAACTTTTCAGAGTTCATTAAGGAGTTAGAGAAAGCTAGTGCCGAACCAGCCAGAGATTCTACCGATATATCTCTCTTATCCTCTAGCGACACTATTAAAGATGTTAATACCATCATGGAAGAGGTAACAGAGACAAGAGTTTCTTTAGAGTCAGTAAGCTTAGATTCCTGTAAAAATAATACCTTGGAAAAAGCACACAAAGAAATTAAAGTATTCTGTGAACTCTTTAAGTCCGTGGAAAATACCATAGTTGAAAACATTGTTTCCAAAGAAAATCAATACAGTTTTCAACAGGAGGGTGACAAAAGAAGTTTGGCTGTAATACTGAGCTTAGTAGCAGAGCAACTTCATATAATTGAAACCTATATTAATGTAGATCAAGAGGCTTTGAAGTCTGCAAACTGCTTGGCTAATACTATTCATGACATTCAAGAACGTTTAAGTAGTGGCGATCAATTTTCAGAACTTAGCATATTGCAGGCCTTAAATATACCATTTAAAACATTTAAAGATAATATCTCAAAAGCATTAAAAACTATGAATGTTAATGAAGATATTACTCCCGTGTCCTCATACCTTGATAAATTTGAAAAATCTGCCTCTGACTTGGAATTAGGTCTAATGAAACTAGAACATGCTTTGTTAAACTCCACTGGAGATTTCTCTAGCTTAAAAAACATTGATATTGAAGTATTAGCACATCCAATCGAAGAGTTGGTGTGTTATATCAATACTATTGAAGGAAAACAGACAAGTTCATCTGAAACTCTAGCTGAACAATCAAGCTTATCCATGCTTAAAACCCTTGCACAGCCAATTAGAGAGATTCAAGAAGGTGTTTTGCAGATTCAAGAGCAAATTGTCTTTGAAGCGAGTGGAAAAACACCCTCTGGGAAATCATGTGCTGGTATTCTTTATGAAATAGCTAAACCAATACGAGAATTGAGAAGTGGTGTGGCATTAATTCAAGAGCAGATTGTTTTAGAACCGGATGTTGAAACTTTGTCTGATGAAACTAGAGTATCATCTCTTCAGACGTTTGCTGCTCCCATTGAAGAAATGAAGAGGGTACTGTCAACCATCACTGAGCAACAACCACTTCTTTTTGAGGCAGATGTTGAGTCTATGTCAGAAAACATTTCTTTGTTAAAAACAATTGCACAGCCAGTGAAAGAGCTTCAAAACAAATTGGCAACAATTGAAATAAACCAGATGATGGAAAGTGATGTTGAACCATTTTATGTAAAAGAGAACATATTAGCTCTAGCTAAACCTGTACAGACACTTCAAGAGAGTATTGCTTGGGTTGAAAGTCAAATGCCACTAGAAACCACAGGTGAGGATAAATCTATTTATAAGAGTATAGCAATGCTTAAAGAGATTGCAAAACCAATAATGGAGATATCTAAAGGAATTGCAGTGATATTTGAACAACAGCTTATTGAAGAAGGAAATTTGGAGGATGTTACGTCAATATCAGAAATTTCAACTCTAGCAAACATTACTGATGTTTCCTTAGGTGATGCAGCAGTTCATATTGATGAAACAGTTCCGTTAGAACATGGAATTTCTCTCAAAGATAATACACTTACTCCTCAGTTGGCCAAAACCACCTTAGAAGAAAATCTTAAACTAGTCGCTAAAGAGCAGCAGCAAGTGTTATTTGATGTAAACGCTGAACTTAAAAATGATTCAGAGCAATCTATTAAATATGAACAGCTGACCCCTACCAACCTTCTTACTGTGCAGGATGTTAAATCATCAGTACAAGTTCAAGAACTTGAAATATTATCAGATGTAAATACATTATCAATCAGTGAAGAGAAAACATTGCTCGCTGCTGAACCTAAACTGGAGTCACAAAACACAGCGGTCCAGGGAGAATTCCAAGACGCTGTTGTTCAAATAGATGAACTTCTTGTAGAAAATCTAGCTGAGGAAAATGCTGTGTTGAAAGATGTCTCCTTGAATATTGCAGCACAAGTACTTGTTCAAGAAACACTTTCCAACGCTAAACCGTTGACTAGTCATGAAGATTTCTCTCCTACAGACGTTACACCTGACACGATAACTCCTTGTATAGTTCAAGGAGAACTTCAGCAATCATTAGCTGATGTTGAGAGCTTAGAAACAGAAGAGGAAACTTTAGACTCAATAAGCATTCAAGATACATCCTTTATACTTGAGCCTAATGTTATTGACTTTCAGCAACCTTTGTCCCTTGTTGAAGATTTAACAGTAACAGAAAATATGTTGTGTGAAGCAGAAATTGAAAGAAGTGTTATAGAAGCAGTACAAAATGCCAACCTCCAAACACTTGATAAGGAAGCTAGTTTCGATACAATTGCCTTTACTTCTGGAAATGTGGATATTTCTGTCACCACACCTAATATTGCAGTACAAGGTGAAATGCAGCAAGCAATTTCTAACTTGGGAGATATTCAAACTGCAAAATATATTAGTGAGTCAGCAAATGTTGGCGAAATGACTTTACAATGCGCTCTCCAAGTAGAATCTCAGCAAGTCTTATCGAATGTTGATAGCTTTAAAGCGGAATCAGTTTCAGAAAAATGTTCACAAACAATGGTGATGGAAGAAAGTCACCATAAGAATGTTGCTGTTAAATCACATGTACAAGAATTTCTCTCAGTGGTTGAACAAATTGAAAAAAGTAAAAACGAGCTACAAGCTAATGTTACTCAGGAACCTCTGACTAATGAGGCATTGAAGCAAGAAGTGCAACAAGCACTGGAAGTTGCAGAAGAAATAATTATGTTGAAATGTGAGATAGAAGAAACTATGCAGGGCAAATCTAATGTCAATGTTGAACTTCCAGATATGTCACACGTTTTATCAACATGTAAACAAGTAAAAATGTTAAAAGAAACACTACAGCATGAGCCTAAAAAACACCCAGAAATAGATATAGGGGTTGAGAATATATTAGAGTTAGCTGAAAGTTTAGGAAAACGCATTGAAGGTCTTCAAACAAATACTTCCAATGAAAGTACTCTAAAAGATGTTGAAAGTGTGTCAACTAAAGCTGATGACAGTTTGAACGTCGGAAAGCCTATTGCTGAGGGGAAAAGTGTTGTATCAACTAGTGAAACAGACTCCAATGATAGACCTAACTTGAAAGAGCTAAGTTTTGCCAATTCAAAGGATGTACTTGAAACTCAATTTCAGCAATTTGTCCATGCAGTCCAGGATGTGTCAGATATAACAGAAACGTTTAAGGCTAAGACTATACAAGAGCCTGCTATAAACCATGCAGTGCAACAAGAATTTACAGAAATCCTCACTTCTGTAAATGAAATTATAAATGCAACAACAATTTTGGAATCTTCTGCTTACCAAGAGGGGTCCTTCAAACTGTCTTCCCAGATTGAAATTCAACAAGTTTTGTTAGTTTGTGACAGGCTTGATAAACTGAAGGATGCAGTTGAGGCAAAGTTGTCAAAAGAAGTAAAAATCTATTCAGCTCTAGAATCTGAACTCCAGCAAATTTTAACAACCGTCAATTCATTTGAAACAATCAAAAATAATTTAACTGCTAGCATAAAGGAAATTGAAACAACACTTGAAACGGCAAATATAGTTGTCCAAAATGTGCTAACTTCAAATAGAGATTCAGAGACAAAAATTAAGAAGGAAAATGAACAAGTGGATAATGTTGAAATGCCTTCTAAGAGTAAAAAAGACCAAACTGCTGGAGAAACTGATCAAGCCAAAGTAGACATCTCTGACAGTATATCAGTGACAAAATTAGAACCAGTTACAGACCAAGAAATAATATACACTACTGAACAAAGCAAGGTTAGAAGAATAGCTGATAAAGAAGAGATGCAAATGAAAAAAGAAACTAAAGTTGAAATAATTCAAGGTAAAACAGACACGGAGGTTGTCAAAAAACCGGAACCAGAAAGAAAAGAAATTGATTCCAATGTGGAAGAGAGAAAAGTAAATGATCAAGAAAGAATTGAACCCAAGCGGGATGATGAATCAAGTATATTAAAAAAATCAGATACAATAAAGAAAGTTTATCCTGAAAAAGAAATACCTACTGAGAGTAAAAATGATCAAAGAACTGAAAAAATAGATCAAGCAAAAGAGGATAGTTCTGAAAGTTTATCTGTGGAAAAATCAGGCACGGTTACCAAAAAGGAAATGAATGACATTAGTGAGGTAAGCGAGACTAAAGTAATTGTTGATGAAAATGAGACAAGAACAAAAGATGAAACCATCAGTGAAGATGTTCAGACTGTGAAAAAGTCAGACACAGCTATAGTCCAAGAAATGAAAGATTCTAATGAACGAAATGAGGGCAAAATAATTTCTGATATAGACAAGGCAAAAAGAAAAGATGAAGCCAGCAGTAAAGATATTCAAAAGAAAACAGACACAGAGGTTTCCCAAAAATCAGAAGCAGAAATGAAAGATACTGGTTCAAAAATTGAAGAGAGGAATGAAAGTGATAATGCAAGCGTAAAGAACAAATCGGAGACCACAAAGAAAGTTTCACCCAAAAAGGAAAAGCCTGCTGAAGATACAAGGGACCAAATTGATGAAAGAACTGATCAAGTAAAAGAATACACCTCTGAAAGTGTACTAGTGAAGAAATCAGATACTGCTATAGACCAAGAAGTAAAAGAAAAAGATGCTAATGATACTTTGTTAAAGCAGGTTAAAATAATCGCCAATAAGGACAAGACAAAAGATGAAATCAGCAGTAAAGATATTACAAATGAAACGGACACAGAGGTTTCAAACAAATCAGAAGCAGAAATTAAAGAATCTGATTCAAAAGCTAGGGATAAGAAGCAAAGTCTTGGAGGTAGTGTAAATAAAAAATCAGATACAGCAACAAAAGTTTCATCCAAAATGGAAATGCCTTCTGACAGTATAAACGAACAAACTGATCAAGCAAAAGAAGAGACCTCTGAAAGTCTATTAGTTTTAAAATCAGATACAGCTACAGACAAAGAGTTAAAAGACGCCAATGAACAAAGCAAGGTTGAAATAATTGCCGATACTGACAAGACAAAAACAAAAGATGAAACCAGCATCAAAGAACTTGAAAAGAAAACTGACACAGGGGTCACTAAAAAATCAGAAGCTGATTCCAAAATTGAAGAAAAAAAGAAAAGTGATGAAGCTATTGAAAGCAAAATATCAGAGATTACAAAGAAAGTTTCACCTAAAAAAGAAAAGTCTTCTGAGAGTAAAAAGGACCAATCTGCAGAAATAACTTATCAAGTAAAAGAAGACACCATTGAAAGTTTATCGTTGGAAAAATCAGACAAAGAAGTAAAAAATGTGAACGAACAAAGCAAGGTCAAAATGATTGCCAATACAGACAACACAAAAACAAAAGGTGAAACCAGCGTTAAAGAAATTGAAAAGAAAACAGATACAGAGGTAAGAGAAAAACCTGAAGCAGAAATAAAAGAAACTGATTCCAAAGTTGAAGATAAGAAGAAAAGTGATGAAGCTAGTGTAAAGAAAAAATCAGAGACAGCAAAGAAAGTTTCATCAGAAGATGAAAAGCCTCCTGAGAGTAAAAAGGACAAAACTGTTGAAAAAACTGATCAAACAAAAGACGTGACCTCTGAAAGCGTATTGGTTTTAAAATCTGACAAGGAAGTAAAAGATACTAGTGAACAAAGCAAGGTTGAAATAATTCTTGATACTGACAAGACAAAGTCAAAAGAAGAAACCAGCATCAAAGAACTTGAAAAGAAAACTGACACTGAGATCACTAATAAATCAGAAGGTGAAATAAAAGAAGCTGATTCCAAAATTGAGGAGAAAAAGAAAAGAGATGAAGCTAGTGAAAATAAAAAATCAGAGACTACAAAGAAAGTTTCGCCTAAAAAAGAAAAGCCCTCTGAGAGTAAAAAGGACCAATCTGCTGAATTAACTGATCAAGTAAAAGGAGAGACCACTGAAAGCGTATCTTTGAAAAAATCAGACACAACTACAGACAAAGAAGTAAAAGATGGGAATGAACAAAGCATGGTTAAAATGATTGCCAAAACAGACAAGACAAAAACAAAAAATGAAACCAGTGTTAATGAAATTGGAAATAAAACAGACACAGATATTATGAATAAACAAAAAGAAGAAATAAGAGACGTTGACTTTAAAATTGAACAGAGGGAAAAAAGTGATGAAGTAAGTGCAAAGAATGAATCAGAGACCACAAAGAAAGTTTCACCGAAAAAAGAAAAGCCTCTTGAGAGTAAAAAGGACATGACTGTTGAAAAAACTGATCAAACAAAAGAAGTGTCCTCTGAAAGTGTATCGGTTATAAAATTAGACAAGGAAGTAAAAGATACCAGTGAACAAAGCAAGGTTGAAATAATTCCCGATACTGACAAGACAAAATCAAAAGATGAAACCAGAATCAAAGACCTTGACAAGAAAACTAACACAGAGGTCACTAATAAATCAGAAGGTGAAATAAAAGAGGCTGATTCTAAAAATGAAGAGAAAAAGAAAAGTGACGAAGCTAGTGAAAAGAAAAAATCAGAGACTACAAAGAAAGTTTCACCTAAAAAAGAAAAGCCTGAGAGTAAAAAGGACCAATCTGCTGAATTAACTGATCAAGTAAAAGAAGACACCACTGAAAGCTTATCTTTGAAAACATCAGACACAACTACAGACAAAGAAGTCAAAGATGTGAACAAACCAAGCAATGTTAAAATGATTGCCAATACAGACAAAACAAAAGATGAAACCAGCGTTAAAGAAATTGAAAAGAAAACAGACACAGAGGTAATGAAAAAATCTGAAGCAGAAATAAAAGAAGCTGATTCCAAAGCTAAAGATAAGAAGAAAAGTGATGAAGCTAGTGTAAAGAAAAATACAGAGACAGGAAAAAAAGTTTCATCAGAAGACGAAAAACAGAGGGAAAAAAGTGATGAAGTAAGTGCAAAGAATGAATCAGAGACCACAAAGAAAGTTTCACCGAAAAAAGAAAAGCCTCTTGAGAGTAAAAAGGACATGACTGTTGAAAAAACTGATCAAACAAAAGAAGTGTCCTCTGAAAGTGTATCGGTTATAAAATTAGACAAGGAAGTAAAAGATACCAGTGAACAAAGCAAGGTTGAAATAATTCCCGATACTGACAAGACAAAATCAAAAGATGAAACCAGAATCAAAGACCTTGACAAGAAAACTAACACAGAGGTCACTAATAAATCAGAAGGTGAAATAAAAGAGGCTGATTCTAAAATTGAAGAGAAAAAGAAAAGTGACGAAGCTAGTGAAAAGAAAAAATCAGAGACTACAAAGAAAGTTTCACCTAAAAAAGAAAAGCCTGAGAGTAAAAAGGACAAAACTGTTGAAAAAACTGATCAAACGAAAGAAGTGACCTCTGCAAGTGTATCGGTTATAAAATCAGACAAAGAAGTAAAAGATACTAGTGAACAAAGCAAGGTTGAAATAATTCTTGATACTAACAAGACAAAATCAAAAGATGAAACCAGCTTTAAAGAAATTGAAAAGAAAACTGACACAGAGGTTAACAAAAAATCAGAAGCAGATATAAAAGAATCTGATTCCAAAATTGAAGAGAAAAAGAAAAAGGATGAAGCTAGTGTAATAAATAAAAAAGAAGCTACAAAGAAAGCATCACCCAAAAAAGAAAAGCCTTCTGAGAGCAAAAAGAATCAAACTGCTGAACAAACTAGTCAAGAAATTGAAGGGGATGGTTTGAAAAAACTAGCTACAACACCAAATAGTACGGTCAAGAATGCTGATGAAGAAAAGGAAAAGCATTTAATGCAAAAAGTGGAGGTAAATGCTGAAATAGCAATTACTAAAGAGAAGATGTCAAACATAGACGTTGATACACACAAGGAAAAATCTAGTTCTGATACATATTCCAATCTTATGGTGGATGAAACCAAAAGCAGTGAAAAGGAACCAAAGAAAACCGAAAAAACATCAATTAAAAAGTCTGAAGTTAAAAAAGGACGAAAAGATTCTGGAACTGGATTGGGAGGTAGTGGGAAAATCACTAAGGAAATCACTGAAACTAAATTTGATGATCAAGTAAATGCATTATCTACACTAGAGTCAGCTTCAAGAGGTAAAACTAAAGACATAATCACAAGTGAGGTGGCAAAAGATACTAAGACTATGAACTTTGAAGTTAACACAGTAAGTGATACTTCAATACCCAAGGAAACTGAGCAAGTATCTGTTAAAGAATCAGGAATAGACATTGTATATGGTAAAGAGCCAGTTAGTAAAATAAGGTCAACAAAGAAGCAAGATAAGTCAGGCTTAGAAGAAAAATGCAAAAGCAATAAGGGTAAACAAACCACTGTTAAGGACCAAGATAATTTGCAGGAAACACTCTTTATTGTTGAGAAAGAAGACAGTGAACACATGTCATATTTAGATGAAAGTTCAACATCAGATTATGGCTCTGAATCACATTCAGAACCATACCAAATCAGGAAAAGTCAGAGCTATAGCAGCAGACAATGGATTGGTGATTCCAAGACTAGAACAGAGGATGTAACACCTAGAGTTTCATCCAAGCTTACAAGAGAAAGGAAGTGTGAAGAATATGGTGTTTCTGAACATGAGAAAATTTCATACTCACGCAGGCAGGTTAGTTTTTTTTAGTTTGTATAGCTATAGTAAGGTTTTTCAAATGTCGCCAATATAGCTTTTCTAGACCATAAATATGGTATTATCCCTCAATAATAATTAAAATTGCCTATTATTGGTTGATTCATGTAAACGTAAACAACAGTTTCACTCAAGCTAAGATTTGAAAACAACCAACTTCAATAAAAGATAAAATACCAAACAAAAGTGTTGATTACATCCTATTTTTGGACTGTCTGTTATGATTAATAATTGTTACAGTACCTTGTTTTCATGGTTGACCTCAAATTAAGTCCCTATGAGGATACAAAATGCTATCAGAGAAATGTCAGAAACTGTAACAAAAACATAAACCTTTTACCTGTTCCAAAGTTTTTGTGAGTGTATCAGCACGGTTATGGCTAGAGATTGGCAGTGACTAATTATTTAAGATTTTTTTACTGTACATATTTTTCTCCATGTATCTAATCAGGTATAGTTAAAACAGTGAATCTAAAGTGAATTTATTGAATGCATAATGGTGCAAAATCACAATGGCTTATTCTAAGTTATATATCCAGAATACCAGCAAGCCCTTGTTCTGTGGTCGCCTGGTGGACCGGACAGCAGCCCAGGGTACTAGATTCAAGGTTACCTGCAGCCTTACAGGCTCACCTGACCCAACAGTCCAATGGTACAAGGATGGGCATCTGGTAGATACCTCACTGGACCATAGGTAGGTATGAGGGAATTCCTCAATTGAAGAGTTGTTCAACTGTTTGCTAATTAACCAAGTTGAACAATTTACAAAAAGATCTAAAACAAAATTTTTATTGCTCTTGCAATATTGCTCTTAATGTGGGAGACAGTGAATTGTAGCAGCTGATTTCTTCACTACAAAGTTGTTAAGTTGGTTACTTAGGTTGGTGCAGTTGGTTAACATACTCAAAACAGTCAAAACTCACAGTTGTGATGTTGTAAGTTTGCGTTCTGGTTCTGACACTATTTATCAGTACAGTTCATTTTTTTACTGTATAGGCTTATTATGCTTTGCTTCATACAATCATACATTTCACATGTATGTCCTATGGACCCAGGATGCTCATGTGGACGAGCAAATACAAGGCCAAAAGAGACCAAGCCTCCAAATAAAAAAATTTCAATTCAAACACATTTATACTGTAAAATATACTACCTTTTCAACATATGGTTGCTTAATTATTTTGACAGAATTGCAAATTAGGTGTCTCTTTCCGTTTCCTTACCAAATATGGTTACCCAGAACATCTAGTTGAAACCAAATTGATAAGAACGAGAGAAAATCTGCTCCTACTGTATTTTAGAAGCCTCAAATTGCTGTGGTTCCTGAGAGTTTGTTCATTGCACAATATATTTTCTTATGTCAGTTTCAATTTATATCGTGCTAAATCAAACTTGATATTTGGCTGCTGCTCCTAGGTATCGGACACGGTTGTCTGATGGACTAGCCAGTCTGGAGATTACTGATGCCAAGGTGGGAGACTCTGGGAAGTACACTTGTGTGGCTAGTAACCCTCATGGAGAAACATCCACCACAGCCAACATCAAGGTGTTCTCCTATATGGAATCTGCTCCAGAGGCACCTGTCTTCACTCAACACATTCGAGGTTAGCAACATTACATTCAAATCAAAACCTAATAGCAGTTTGTTATTTTAAGTATTTGGTATTGTGTGTTTCAGAGTCATCAGGATTTATCATCAGTTTGTTTTTCAAGGGAATCTTTTGTTACGTAAAATAGCGTTTCGTTCCAGGTGTCGTGACTGCTCATCTTAGCAGCTATGTCACAAACAGTCATAAAACATAACATTGATATTAGTGTTTCCATCCTAGTATACATCTTCAGCTTTAGAGGGTAGATTGAAGAGAAATGTAAATTATTGTTCAAGCCTGTTTTAATCATCAGCGTTACCACCTGTATTTTTCATTGGAAATAACTGATCTTGTTGGAAGCAAAAACTAAACATATATATGAGTTATTACTATTAATATTGTAAGACAAGCAGAACTCTATTCTTTAAATCCTTACTAAGAGCCTTAAGATAAGAATCACAAGATATAAGATTTGTATGAATTAGTCTACATTAAGTATTTATTTATTGTTCTGCAGACCACTACAAGAGTATGTCTGATGAACTGGTGATCGAGTGCAGAGTGAAGGGTCACCCACTCCCAAGTGTCATGTGGACCAAGGACGGTCAGCCGCTGCGCTCATCGTCACGCTACCAGCAGAGTGTACTGACTGATGGCACGTGTCGTCTTGTCGTGCACGGGCCTGAACCTGCTGACTCTGGCTTGTATAAGTGTACAGCGGAGAATGCTGTGTGGTCTGAACAGACCTCGGCCAACATCACATTTGATGGTGAGAGCATGAAATAACAGATGTAAGCATATAGAATGTAAAAATACAACTGTGAAAATTGTACTTTTGGTTGTTTAGTTACATGACATGACGGTATTATTTGCTTTTTGAACTTTGTGGCTTTTTCAGTGATTCACATGTGACTATTTTTTATCATGATTTTCTCACATCTTATGAACTAAAAAATCGGAATAATTTTAAAACACACAGTGCAAAGAATAGGTTAAGCTAAAAGTATCACAATGCCCCATTCAAATTCCATCTGATACTGAAGGACTGAACTGATCCTGTCAACTCCCACCTAAGTTGTCCACCATGTTAATTAAATAAGCCTCTCACATATACACCTCTGTCTCAAACTGTGAATAGGGTCAATTCCCAAAGTACGAGATACTTAAGAAGTAAAAATGAAATTAATGACACTACAGGGTCTCATGAGTTTCACATCACACTTACTTGACCGATAAGGGATTCGAACCCTAGGGTACGGTGCTGTCTTACAACCGTAAAACAGTTCCACCATTGACTACACATTATGGTCTACTACGTTAACATATAAAAATAATAATAATAATTTGTTTATTGTAGTCGACAAAATACATTGTATTACGAACGTCAGATAATCAACATTATCTGTCAACCAAAATTCCAAGCGTAGTAGTTCTAAAAATTACTTGAAAAGTATCTGCAATGAAAATAAGTTAGCTATTTGCCTCAGGACGTGACAAATATTTGGCGGATAGTAGGAGTCTCACTGATCTCAAGTTGCCGAGGATCACCAACATTGTGTCTGACACTGCAGTGAGGGAAGGTGGAACAGTGGCGCTACAAGTGGCTATCAAAGGTAGGAAAAACGTTTATACTGCAGATTAGTTGTTACTTTTAAAATTAGGCTTTCACAATAGTTTATCCAACTATGGAGGCAAATTGTTAATACTTTAAACTATAATACCTTACTTTGAAATGGCGACCATACGATCGTAGGTATTTCAAGTATGAAAGGAGATGAGTGTTGTTGGCGAGGCCAAAAATCACTTGGTATGGATGTAAGATAGAGTAGGCCTACTAGTGCCTAGGTTGTAAGGATATTTGTGAGGATAGCAACCTTAATAGACTAAATATAAACTGGCACAAGAAACACAAAACGACAAAACTTTACATTTTACGTGAAGATTGGAATATTTCTCTGTCACAGACCTTTCACCTGAAGAAGGTTTGATTTGGAGAAAGAGGACCCGTATTCATTTCTTCCTGATTAGTGATTATGGACTCTTTTCCATTGATTTCACACAAAAATTCTTCTATTTCTCACTAAGCCTTCTATCCTCACAAAAATCCTTAAAACATTTCTAAGCATGTTCTCGGCTAACTAGAGCAGTTAATGGTATAAAAAAGATAACTAATTGCTTACTAATAAATCCTTTACTTATCTTCAATGCCAAAAGTGGTGCATCTAGTAATTTAGGTAAGACTACTGAACTTATAATCAAACATAAGTGGGTTTTTATTCTCAGTAGAGATACATTGTTGGATTGACATTTGGATTTCACAGCCAATGAAGATTCTGAATCCACCATTAAACCTCTTTCATTCAAGCTGAGATATGGATGTTTGGTATGTACCTTCAATTTAATTTAATAAAGACTTTCTGCCAAAATTAATAATAATAAATTGTTATATATAAAGTGAAACCAAATTTTTGTAATGTTATGATGAATTAGCTTTTATCAGCTAACCCATCACTTGTTGTAATGACAGATTAACTTTTTTCAGCCAACCAAATCTAAATTTCTCCTGATAAATCATATTTTAATCATAATATCATTCGTACAGATTTTAGATGAATAAACATTTGTCACAATGCATTTTTTACTAAAGGCACTCCCAGAGCGGAGGTGACGTGGTACCGAGGTTCTCAACCTCTGCCCAAACGGTCCTCTCGGTTCCGGTACCTGGAGGATGCCGGGGTCTACTCCCTGGTGATGACTGAAGCTTCTGCCTCAGAGGCTGGCATATACACTTGCAGAGCCAGCAATGCTCATGGATACAGGGACACTAGGTAATGTGATATGAGATGATTCCCTTGTACACTGGATGATTTAATTTAACCTGCCATAACACTATTATGTTACACTATTTACAGTTTTAGAACTGACCTGGAAGCATTAACCAGCCAATACGTCCACAACATTGTTGTACTAAGAATCGCTCTCAGGGATGCTCATACTGAAGTCGATATCTATACGTTGTTGGTGTGAGCACTAAGAAGGTTTTTTTTATTCTAATATTCTAAATAACTTCTTGATCAGCATTGTACGTGTTATTAAATTTACGGAAAGTAAATAAAAGAAACGTCTTTTAACACTTAAAACATATATTTACGCTTATACTGTTATTCACAAGACGGTAAATATACAAAAAAGATGGTAAGTGATGATTGATTTCGATTGGACACTCCAATCATCATCAGACCCAATAGTTAGTTCTCTAACTGATCCCCAGTATATGGAGCTTATCATAGTGTCCCTTTATTCAAGGTCGTGCCCAACGATGTTGCAATGGTGCAATTTCCTCCACTGGCCGATTTACTTTTCGCAGTCACTTCATGACTAGAAACACACATAATCAGCCACACGCTCTGTATCACTATTCTTAAACTATGGCTATTGTTTTGAATCTTGAAATAATTACCAGAAATGATAAAATAATTATTTCACAAACAGATTAGTAGGCTTCTTTATTTTATTCCAAAGTCTTAACTGAACCTTTAAACAATTAAATTAATTCAATACAAAATATTTAACATGTGATAAAACAAAACACAGTAGTTTAGAAAAAAATATAACAGTCAGATTAAAAGGAAAATCAATGAAGTGAAAACATATTCAATAAAGTTCACAACAGCTATGTTAAGCTCATTAATACCAACAAAATGTAATGTTTACTCATTGACAATCACACCTATAAAACCTCTATCTGTTAATTGTGATTTGTTTTAATTTGTAACACACTTTCAATAATAATGATTAAAAATGTTTAAACATTAGAATTGCACAGACACTCCATATACATTAGTGCTACAACTGGCTGAGTTGGCCAAGACCCCAGTGTTGCCAGTTTTCCTTTGCTGCATCCTTGTATTACAGGAGACTATGTCATTATCCTATATTCTCCTTATCTGGCTTGTTTCAAGGAAAGTTATTCTGTTACTGAACATCTCAGTTTATATTTCAAACTTTTCATAAACTTTTTACTTCATTGCAACATTCAAATCTTGTTTAACTTGTAGCACTGGCACGGCAACTCTATAACAAAATCGAGACGCTGTTAAATTCTTTGTTGGTACCAACTAGGGGAACCAGCTCATTGGCTCTAGGTTGTATGTACAACCCCACAATTCCCTATTCCCCTAGTTCAGATGTACTGAGTACAATGTACTTAATCTATTAGTAAAAATGGCGGCCAACAGCTCACAATTCTCTCATTCACTCAATGATAACTTAGCACAGTGTTAGTTGCTGGAAAGTCAATGGCTAAACAAACTGTTTGTTCACAGTGTGAATGTAGAGATTGTTGGCACCGCTGGAGGGTCGACTTCTGGTAGAGGTAAACCAGCCATGTTTCTGTCCAGACCAGACACCAGCATGAGCATAGCCGTGGGTGAAGATGTATCCATCTCCTTCCGTGTCAGTGGCGACCCCAAGCCTAGAGGTGATCTGATTAATGGTTTCAACCAATAATAGAAAACCAGGAATTTTGAATCTAAAAACTTAACTAAAACTTAAAAGAATGGAATAACAAAATTCATATCTGTAAATTCTTTTAGAGTAAATTGTAATACTCTGATTTACTGGCTGCATAAAAAAATATGCAGTGAATAGCTGCAAGATTTTTTTTTGTTTTAACTTCTAATCTCACAGAAATAAATATTTCAAAATATTTAAAAATTAGCTTACCCGTAACTTGAATAGAATGACACTTCATAAAGTATCAATTTAGTTTTGACTGGATGACTATTACCTAATTATTTAGGATAGGAAAGCGGAAATGAATTGAGAGATGTTTGTATCTAAGACGTCTATATAGTGACGGGACAATAGAAGGCCAATGACTAAAGGCTTGAAGGCTTGTCTTTCTTTTTCACACAGACACAATTATCAACCTTATTAAAAAAAATTGTATGTTATTCTTAATACCATTTCAATCAGATATCTTCTTTCAAAGGATTTTATACGGAAATAAATTTTATTTGTTGAGATTTTAAGTTTATGAAGTAAACACTTTTAGCTGGGTGTTTCTTAGAGTTTGTTTTATCTAGAGACTTTTTTTTTTAATTTGTCGTGGTCTAATTCATACCTTTGTCTCTAGTGTCGTGGATGAAGGGTATGAGAGACATCACCAACAACCTCAGAACATTGAAGGAGACTGTCAATGACTACGTTAGACTAACACTCAAGCATGCTACCGTCATGGACGCAGGAACTTACTTCATAATGGCCAAAAACATCTATGGAGCTGACCACGCATTTGTCACAGTCAGGGTGAGTAAAAATGTGTGTGTGTTTGTTGTAAGAAATTAATTAGTAGTAATTATTGATCCAAACGATTTTGAATCTTCGTTATTAACATATATTTAATTGTCCATCAGCAATCCTGAGAATAGACAATAGACAATGTTCTTTATGTACATATTCGTGAGAGAATAGTACATGCCTCAAATGTACGTGTATTATGCGTATATGAATGTGAGAGTATACACAATAAGCTACTTAGCTCTACTTAGCTCAGTTTCAGCTTCGATGCAATCCCATGGTCTACTTATAAGCCTGGCCCCCTGTTTGAAATCCTGTATGCTAACATTAAAGTTCTAAAACAGTTTGTGAAATTGATCCTTCCACTAATTAATTTTGCATGTTTATTAGCAAACTTTTGCAAAATTTGTATTGTTACAGGTGAAGCAGCGAGCTCGCTCATTGACACCGACTCGAGCCACAATCTGGAGTGCTCCGGACACATCTACAATCCTGAAGGACATTCACGAGTCTACCAGAGCGCTTGTTAACGGTAAGTGGATTCCAATCCATCATAATATTGAAGGCTATAAGAGAACTCCAAAAAAAGTTCCCATCACTTAGTGTTAACCTTTTGAACCAAAGGAAATTTTTATTGTTTGAGCTGCTTTACCGTTGACTTTTAAATACTAGTGTAGACATCCCATCTATATCAATGAACTTGCTGCAACCTATTAAAAAAAGAACAGAATCAATATAGTTGAATGAGCCTCTTTCTGAGCGCGCTCCTTTTTAAATTCTATTTTTCTCTTGGCTTTTACTCTTACTTACTCTTACTCTCAGGGCCATGCATATTTAAGAAGATATTTGGCCGCACCAACAAAGCGTCTCCATCTTGCTCTATCCTCTGCATCCTCCTCAGTTGCTCCTAGCTGCTCCATGTCTTTCTTTACTTGGCCCCACCATTTTTGTTTTGGCCTTCCTCTCGGTCGTCTTCCTTCGGGATTTCTTAGTAAAACTAATTTTAACTTATTTTGCTCCTCTCTTCGTAAAACATGTCCAGCCCATCTAACTCTTCTACACTTAAATTCACACACCACATCTGGATCTCTGTAGAGTTCTCTCAGTTCTCTGTTGTGTCTCTTCCTCCATTCACCACCTTCATAAATTGGTCCATATCTTATTTTCGAATGTGATTAACTTCTTTTCTTCTTTTTTATTCGGTTTCCATGTTTCAGCTCCGTATAATAATACTGGGCTGATTATTGTCTTATAAATTCTAACTTTGGTGTTTTTTGACAGTAACTTAGAGGACATCAGTCTGTTGCAAGCGTAGAAACATCTGTTTGCCAGATTTAGTCTATTTTGAATTTCTATTTCTTCTTTGTTTTCCCTGGATAAGATAACCCCTAAGTACTTAAAATACTAAATCAAAATATCTTGGCTTTTGATACAAAAAATTGTTTGACTATTAAAAGACAATGTTTTGCCATAGTTTACATTACATAATAAGTTGTACTTTTATTTTGACCTGGTTGAAAATTAAAAGTTAGCGTGTATAAGAGAAATCAGTTGATTGACTTCAGCACACTCTGCTGCAGGACAAAAAAAACTGCTGTAGGCACAAACTATGTTCATTTTTGTTCTAAATTTTTTTCATAGGTTTTAACTTAAAAATGAGAATCAGATGTCTACTTCTATTACTACTGAAAAGATTAATTTATTTTTATTATGCTTTTACCTATGCTATTTACATAAATCTCCAATGTTTAAACCAGTTTTGGGGGACACACACATTAAGAATAAGTCAAAATCAAAAGTTGTTGCAAGTTGTGGTGAAAAGTAGCTGATTTTATCCACATACAATTGTTTTAGAACTAGTAACTATAATTCTGTCAATGACCATTGAGGTAAATTCTTCCGGTATGTTGACTGATCAGGTAAAATTCATAAGGAATCCATTACCTCCAATTAACCAAACGGTTCCCTGTTTATTTTATGTGGTTTCCATCCCCCTAGCTCTACCCTACAAAGCTTAGTTTACCCTTGAATTATGTCAGTTTCCTAGAATGGAAGACAAAATTTTTAAACTCAAACTTTAGATCGCCAAGCTATAAAAAAATTTTGTCTATCCCTTCAACCTGTAGTTCTAAGCTTGTCTCCAAGGTCACAGCATTTAAGGCTCAGATTTCACCTGTTTTCGCCAAAAAATGCCAAAAGATAGCTGTAAGTTAAGGTTTTATTATGTTAATCATGATATAAAGTATATCTATCTTTGAGGGTTGATAGATCGAGTTTTCATAATCTCTTAATCTCTGGCAGCCTCCATATCAACAATTGAATGTGTACTTAGCCCGAAGACAAGACATTTTTCAATACCCCACTCATAATTTAAAAAAATATGAAACAAGTCCTCTCTATATGGGGTTAAAAATTTACAATAAAATTCCAAACTCCTTAAAGCAATTAAACTTAGCAAAATTTACAGGCAAAATCAAAACAGTTTTAGTAGAAAAAGCATATTACACTCTTGAGGAATTTTTCAACGACTCCTGGTAACAGACACCCAATCTCTCATCAACCTCTCCTAACATAAACAGTTCCACCATGCTGTAGCTTTGTAGGGGTAACTTACTGGCTAAATCCTAGGTTTTTTATATACCTATTTAGATTTCCTTATTTATTAGAAACCTTGACAATGTACCTGTCTGTGTATTACATTTGTAATAACTTTAACAGATGTTATGTGCAATAAAGAATTGTCATTTGTCATTTGTCATTTAGCTGTTACATGTGAATTCAGAGATGTAAGGAAGGGGTGGAATTCACACTGGCATCTTTATACCCAAGCAGTAACCCCCTTCATCTATGTCAAGCAGCAGTACCTTGATTACACTCTGTCCACCTGATAGGATAGTTGACAGACTTACTTTGTTACTGATACACTATGGTGTGTAGTTTTAGGTGAAGTTGAATGATGGGTGTCAAATAACGAAATAACCCATCAAATAAATTATTGAACCCTGTAAACAAAAAACTGTGGAACAAAACTGAGCATGTTACAGTGGAACATTCATACCCTTGTTGTGTGACACTTTTACTGACTGTTGTCGAATGGCCATCTAGAAACCATGTTTTGTTTATATGTTCTATGTTAATGAATGATTTTTGTTGGGCTGTTTGAAGGAAAAGTAAGTTAGGTGTCCATGCTGAAGCAGTAGTCATATCCAGATATAGAAGAAGCAATAGGAAACATATGAGCCTTGTGTTTGTTTGTAACGTAAATAGCTTTTCATTAAACCAAATATAACCAATTTTAAAGCATGTAATTTGGCACGGGTAAAACTGAAATTCAAACAAATACACCACTTAAATTTACAAAGATTTTATAATCTTATATAGGCTATTAAAAATTGGTTGGATCAGTGATCAGTTAACAAACCATTGATATAGAGGATTTTTAACTTAAACAAAGCAATATAAACCTTATTTATAAAGTTAAATATTGCAATTGCAATACAAGCATTTTTCTATATTATACTATGAATTAACGACCAAGTATTTTTTTGTAGAGTCCTCTTCTACAATCTAAAAAAAAATTGCTCAGTATTAACTATCAAGGCAAAACCCATATTGATTTATGCTGACCAGCTTAAGGGACATGCCAAGTATGTTTGGCAATTTTTAGCTCCCCAAAATAACAACACAGTTTTAGAGTGATTAATGTTTTTGTGTGAAAGCCAAATTTTTGCAAGGTAAAGTAAAGAAAAAAACATGAAATATTATTTTTGTAGACCATCATCTGAGTAAAGGCTTCTTAGTATTCATTTTCAAACTAATTAGACAATTGTATTAACATGAATTTTAGTAGCATGCAAAAGTTGTGAAGTCAACTGAAAGTTTCATGCAGCAGAAATTTCTTCCAGGAAAACTTGAGAGTACGTAATCATACTCAACTTACAATGGATTGTGAAACAACGGCAGATCAAAGAAAGAGTTTTGCGGAGTGAGTGTGGTCGGTATTTCTGGAATGGTTATTAGTGGCGCTAACCTGCTATGTATAGAGGTCCAGCTGGATCCATATGGATATCATTGAGGCTGAGGCTACCTGCCTGCCAATACGTGGCGCCAGACCGTGTGTGGTACTAGAGCGTTAAAAACTGTTTTGAGAAACATCAGGACCTTCAAAGGATTAAGCCATTCACCGTAAATTTTAATTTTGATTGCAGCATTTCTTTAGCTTCTTGTACAACAGTCAGTTTGAAATTTTATAATTTTAGCCAATAGTAAGAGGGATCCCCCAACAACCATAAAGTCACCACAGTTGAAAATAAGTCATAAACCAATTATTTTAAATGGCATCTTTTATGTCATTTCAAATATCATAGTATTGAAAACTATGGTAGGAATTTGATTTTGACGCCATTTAAATATTTTGTCCTATAGTAAAAAAAATTACAGTTGGTCTATACTGATACAATGTCTACGGTAATTTAGTATGCATTTGGTTATATGTATCAATAGTCACTAAGCACAGATTTCCTGTGCAGGGATACAATGGATTTGTAAATATATGTATGCAACTTAAATGTATTATTGAAATAGTTAATTGATTATATTTCATTTAAATCATACTCGATTGACTTAACTGTTGATAAAGATGGGCCAATTTGGAATACGTTTGTGGTTGAACATGAAAGAAGGGTTGTCAGGGGAGCATGTTGATTATGAGGTTAGGTGCTTTCAAAGACAGTAAATGCTTAAACCAGACCTTGATCGCTGGTAACAGTGCTCAATTTGCTTTGGAACGTGGTGGAACAGGGTTCTGGTACTTCTCTTTTGGAAAGATAAAAATATTGGTATTAAATAGGTACAAATCACATTATATAGCTTACAGTTCCTGCACCTCATTTTTACAAATATAGCACTGGCTAGTAGTAACATTATAGTATGATAGTGTTTAGTATATCCTGTAGCTGTATACAACTATGTTAGCACAAAAGTTGATTTAAGTTAACTACAAAAAATGTATTTATTTAATAACCTTTTCCACAAAATTAATATCATGTGACTATTGTATGATTTTTTTTAAAAGTTGCATCCATCAAACTGTCTTTCAGTCTTACTGGTAGTACGTTATCCTATTATATATTTGAATATCAGTCTTTGTGGCAAGAATGTTTAGTACTCTTACATGCTTCTGTGGTCTACAACAATGAAGGGGGTGGGACACACTTTGTTTATCAACAAGTGGAAGGAGGTGATCAGGCTATTTTTACTCAGTGTGTGACAGTGAGTGGCTCTGGGAAGTGGTGAAGTGTCGGATAGTGAAGTCTCTAGATGGTTGTGAAAAGTGTTGACTCCCTGCAGGCACTAAGGTCTGCCTGGGCACAGCGAGACTGCCTTATCAGTGAATTCCTACACTACCTTACTGATTACCAAGGTGAAAATTGTTAAAGGAATAAAGAATTATCCTGATAATCTCTTAAATAAATATTCTGCCTTATCCAAAGCAATACCCACAACACAACTAATTCATTGTATCTTCAAGTGTTTTTGCCTGATAACAATATTTTTCATAGAATAACAGAATAATCAAATATTCCGAAAAACTGCTCGAACAGTTTTGATAAAAATGTAGTATTCCCATTTAACTCTTAACAAAATGGTTCAACTCCCAATGCTGTAAAAATGTTATTGCAACTCTTGTGATTTTGTCTATAAAATATTATAGTTTCTTCCACTCCTTATGATAAGGGTTGGCAAAACTAAAGAGAGAAAGTAGGCCTATGTGTCACATTGCTGATACCGTACTGTTTATTTTATTTTAAAAATCTTAGCTTTAAAATTTATTTATAAAAATATTAAAAAAAATTTAATTTATTAAATTAACTATTAAATTAATGAAAATAAATTAATCTAAAACATTAAATAAAAAAATCTAAACTTTGTAGTTTGTATACAAGATAAGATCCTAACATCTTTTTACCTTACTTTCAACCCTAACATACCTAACAAGATAACCAATTTTTTACCCGAAATATAATGGTTTCCTTTAGAAATTTCTAAAAATTAATGAACCAATTTGATAAGTTTTTGTAAAAACTTAGAAAGTTTGTAAAAAGTTGCATATATACCAAAGTTTTCTTAAATTATTCCTGTATTGAAGCCAAGGCAATAAATTTAAATGTGGCATTACTTCTTGATTGTCTTTTTAATTTGCGATCGTTACATCACAATGGGAGAAATCACTGGGATTTTTTTGTCTGGCAACCTCAATGACAACAGAATAGTTTCATTACGCCAGCCAGTGTCTTACACTGTGGTATGTCAGGTACAGAATGGGGCCTGTCCACAAAACTCGGTTATTTCTGGCATCTGACGAGTAGCCAGCGCTGTTATGAGTCACAAAATGGGCTGGATCATCATCAGATCTTATTTCTTCAGGGGCAGTGCCCTCCTTTTCCACATTCAGTATTAATGAAGGTTTTTTTTGTTTGGATTTGGTTTACCAAAGGAACATAGTCGGATATCATAATTTATGCTTCAATTAAATTTTAAATACATCACCTTTGGTTAAGCATTACAACAATGTTGTCAATAGGGATAAAACTATTACTGTAGTCTACATGGTGAGAATTAGATAATCTCTACAGATAAGTTTCTCTAATCTAGAAACATGATTTATTCAAATTGCTAATTTATGTTTTTGAGTGGCCCCTTATCAAATCATTGACTTTTGTTTCCTAAAGGTTATCCCATCTACAATAAAATCCATCCCAGCTATAACTACTTTTTTATTTGTATGGAATTTAAATTAACAAATGAGCCACTCTCAGCATGTGGAGTTGTCAAAATGCTAGAAACAACTTTTACTGCCAGAGCGATTTTTGTTGTCTGTTTTTTGTTTAGGCTTCCGGTTTGGATTCTCAAAGGGCAATTCTTCATCAAACCGCAATTTGTCAATTTTTGTTCATTTAGAACATCACAGTTTTTTTTAGAACAACACACAAAAAGACATAAACAAACACAGACCAAACCACGAAAATACAAAATATGTGGCTAATTATAAAAAAATTAAAATGTGCTGGGACGTATGGCGTGGTAGATTGCTCTAGACTAGTACCTTAGAAAAATATTTTTTTTAACCTGATGATGTGTTAATGTTTAAATAATGAAAATTGACACGGTAGCCTAAACAGACTACTAGAATCACTCTGGCAGTTAAAGATATTTAAACCATTATTATATTACCATAAGTGATTCGAAGGCTAACAACAACATGATGCTATTTTTCCTCTTAGGTTTTTATTCTTCTATGATTTATGTGGCGTCGAAGATGCTATGTATAGCGTACAGTAAGATGCTCTTTCAGCAAGTCTGTGTACAAGACTCATCAGTAATCGATTAATTAATTTACTCATCCAAACTGCTCCATATCAGATGCTTGCCGATATGTTTTGTCGTGTCCATGTCGTGTGCGGCAAATATAATTGCTTCTTTAGTGTTTCTACGTTTTGTTATGAAAATATTAATGCAGCTTGGGCCCACAGTAGGCAAAGTATTTATTAATAGTTGAGTAGCGACTGGTGAAATGCTTTGTACAAGACCAGCTTTATTTGTTTAATCTCTCAACTAATAAAGACAGCTGGATAAGAAATAATACCGTCACTAAACCTTCTTGTAGCCTCGTTGCTTTGGGAGTTCATATACATGGAATACTAAAGTCACAGTCTGGTTCTCTGCAAGCCCAGGATTACAACACCAGGCGTACAACAATCATTTCAATTTTGTTGAATTTTAATTGTTAACTCTTTAAAATCCAAAGTTTGATATATCATATTCGAGAGTAGCATAACCAAACTTCCTCTTACAACTCTAGACAAGTAAAACTCAACAAAATGTGCTGAAAGTATCTGACATACACACAACCTGGGTGTCAAGCTTAGAACTACTACACTTTTGTTGACCAGTGTCATTGTGGTAGAGTGTTAGGTCTCTGATCTACTGTTGAGCAGTCTGAGGTGTGTTGTGTCTCCCTATCAGCTTAATCAGGTGTAGTGTGAGATTCATGACAAGATCACCTGTTTCTGGCAGAGCTACGTAGGAAGGCCTTTCTTAAATCAAGATAAACAGTGGTCAGCTTGGGTAGGAGTTAACGGGATATTGAGAGTTGGAATCCTATCTTGATTAGGTCTCCCAACGAGTTAATCTGTTTTGGATCAGATCAAAGGTGGAATATTGCATAAGATGAATTAATTGTAAGTTTAACCTTATCAGACATTTTGCTATTTTTTCTTATCCTTAAGCCCCGTTCACACGGGGCGAGTTTACACGCAGCTAGTAAAATAGCTCAGTGTGAACGACGTACTCGCTCAAAAGCTGCTTGTAAAAAAGCTCTGGAAAAAGTTGACGCTGCCGCTACTTTACACGCCAACTCGCCAGCTTTTGAGCGAGCAGGCGTGTAAAGTAGCCCAGTGTGAACACAGTCGCTTGTGCTTGTGCGCTTGTTACTCAAAAATGTTGGAGGATTTGGTTCAAGCCAGCTACTGAGCGAGTGGAAAAAGCATCGTGTGAACAACTACAAGCGCACTCGCCGGCGTCTTTCTACACGTCTGCGAGTTGGCGAGTGGACAAGCTCCGTGTGAACAAATACAAGCACACTCGCCAACTTGCCGGCTTCTTACAAGCTGGCGTGTAGCTTGTAAACTCGCCCCGTGTGAACGGGCCTTTACTATGTGTCTCTAGCAAATCCTGGGTTTAAAATCACTTTGATTTTTAAGTTTCTAAGATTGAACGAAGCTGTGGCAAAAAGAGACATACTTTATTCACTGAATATAGAGCTTTAGGGATTAATAAAACAGTGTAACAAGTCTAGTACATATTTTAGTATTGTACAAGGTAATGTTCTGTTTGTAGATGTGCCAGGTCCTATCAGCAGTGCGCCAGTGGTCTCAGACTGTGGCAAGAACTGGTTGTCTCTGTCATGGGGCAAACCTGAGCACCGCGGCGCAGCTCCTGTACTGGCTTATAAAGTGGAGTCATGGTTACTAGGAACTGAGGGTGGCGCACACTGGACTGAGGTTAGTTAATCATGTAACAGCTTTTAGAGGTTGATTTGATTGTGATAAAGCACAAACAATTATGCTAACAAATATATACAAAACTAATAATAGATGCACAACAGGTTACAATAAAACATAACATTTATATTTTGTCCCAACATAGGACTTAGTGAGTTTATTGGAGTTATTTTGTTTCTTCAATCTAACCTCTTATTAGGACCTCTTTGTATCATATCTTACCAACTAAATCAACTAATTATTCCAAACTAATTAATTAATAATGCAAACTTCAAGGGTTTATATTTTGTGTTCCAGCTTGGAGTTACTCCCATCAACAGTTTCGATGTGTTCTTCCTGAAACCTGGATCCGAGTACCAGTTTCGTATAACCACCCGTAACCGGTATGGGTGGGGCGAGTCGGTTACAACAACAGAGCCTATCTCTGTAGGCAATGCGGCCAACTTCCCACCAGACATTGTGCGAGACTTGCCTGGTCCTCTGAAAGCACTGCAGGGAGACAATGTTACATTGGAGTGTGAGGTTGGTGGATCAGGTTTTCTTCATTTAAAAGCATTATGGGTAAACAAAGGCTGTTATTTATTATTTATATTTAAAAAATTAAATAACTGAGAGCTGGGTGGTTGTATCACTTACCTAGTAGTTTGAAGGTAGCTGGATTGGTCTGAGAAAGTAGCTTTATGATGGCTTGTAACTGGACCCAGTTGTCCATATTGACTGGATTTTTCATAAATATTCCTGGCTAAGAAACAGCTGGCTTAGTCAATAAAACAGCTGCACAGTGCACTGATAAGTTCAATTCTTTCTATACTTATTTTGCAAACTTTAACAGCTTAAAACTTTTACCTAAGTATGAGTCGCTGTCTTATAAGAATTTAAAGAAACTGGTTTGAAAACTATTATGGTAGATACTGAATATTGAAGTGGAAATGGAATAGCTATAATTCCAAAGGGAGATGATCAGTTTACCTTTATTACAGACTAAGATCAGCTGTTTCTGTAGCTACTAACCCAATGATCAAACACAGCTGTGTTTAGTTTGAAACCATAAAAAAACTGCTAACATTTTAAAGAATTGAACTGGCAACATTTAGATTGCTAGGCGAGTACTTCAACTACTCAGCTACAGCCTACTTATCATCATACTTGATCATACTTGACTTATCATCATAGAACTTGATTATTGTTCTTTGGAGAAAGTTTTTGAAGGCTCTATGATAACTTTTTCTTTCTATGGTTTTTAACTGTCAATTGTGACATTTTTAATAAATTTTCTGTTGACTATGTACTAAAAACTTTTTATGGATATATTTTTATGAAATGGTTAAATAATTTTGAGCCTTGAGCAAGTAATTGGCCTGTATCGCTAATTTAAAAATATATCCTACAACGCCATATGCCTACAGATTAATGGAGACCCACCACCTACGATCCAATGGCTCAGAGACGGCCAGAATGTTGGAACTGTGGCAGCACTGAAGGGTCGAGTGTTTGTGGTGGACGATCAGCTGGTCCATCGTCTCATCATCAAACAGCTGACCGAGGATGACTCAGGCCGCTACGTGTGTGAGGCTGTTAACAAGGTGGGGCGAGCTTCAACGTACGCGAGACTACTAGTAGTCACTGATCCTCGTCTACTGGACGCTGACCGGAAACTGAAAGAGTAAGTAGTTTCTAAGGTACTTTTATCGGATGGATAAAATACCTAAATGGACTGGTTAAAATGTATATAGCTTTCTCCTTCCCAGTAAAACTGCTTGATATAGGTTTGTGAAGTACAAGTTTGAAACTTTTACGCAGGGTAGAATGTTAGATCCAATCAATGGCTAAAAGATTTAAGCCGTTGTCTCTTCAGCCAAGAGACAGCACTATAGATTGAGGTGTCCAAATCTGTTTTGGTTAGGTCAGGTGTGCAACTCATGAGGGTTTAACCTATCTTTGGTAAATCTTGGTGGGGAAGGATCTATTCATACACATCCTCTTATGATTCGATTAAATTCCTAGGTTTAGGCCTCTATCTTCCTCTTTTAATTCACTTTGTGTCATCTCACTCCTCAATTATTCACATTCCTCTTCTGCTTATTAATACACCTTCTACTACATCTTCCTCTTTTTCCTTTTCTTTACCACTTTTATTAAATTTTCACAGGAATTATCTTTTTACATTTTTCTTTTATGTTAGATAGAAATACTCTCACTGTTTAGCTGTCTTCAATTCATCTCTTGATCTTAATAGATCTTCTGATCCCTGACAGTCTCTGGGGAGTCATGGAGACTCCTCACTTTTGATCCATCTTGTTGGGTGACTAATCAGAATTTTCTTTACTGATAGGAGTCTGTTGGAGCAGCACGAGTCTGCACCACAGATCACCATGAGACTAAGAGACCGCAGAGTACAAGCCTCTTATCCTGTGAGATTGTCATGCCAGGTGATTGGCAGTCCGGCCCCGACAGTGACTTGGGCTAGTCATGGCCAGCCTATCACTGCTGACGGTGGGTTTCAGTTTATCCTATTTTATCAAATCAACTTTGACATGTAGTCATTTAAGAGTTGTGGAGGTGTAGATTAGGCCTCCATTTTTTACCATCCCACACCATTTCCTCTTCCTCCACCATTTCATCTCACTCCTCTCTTCTCCGCACCTCTCTTTGTCCTATCTATCATTATATTTTCCTGCCATCTTTCTCTCTGTTCGTTTCTTCCTATCTCGTTATCAAGTACATAGCTCGTAACAAGGATTGCTTTTACTTGTTTAAACATCTAGCTTAGTTTCTCCTCTACCAGTTCTGGAACGTCATTGTTGAATAGTTAAAATAAAATAAATTGGTATAAGACATACTAAGGCTATTTTAAAGAAAATTCAAGAAGTGTCACATCACTTCAAGTAAATCAACTCAACTCAACTCAATCAACTCTTAATAGCTCAAAATTCATGAGAATACGGTTTATTTTCAAGTTTAATGCAATTTGGCCTAGATTAGATATATTGTGAGTATAAAGGAAATTTTTTTTTACTTTGACTTAAAAAGACGTAGCTCAGGTAAAGGTAGAGGTAAATCAGTTTAAAATTTGAGTTGAAGTAAAGAAAAGTTTACTTTATTTCCTGCAATGACTACGAACGTACATAAGTGTTGCTGGTGTACATGGATGGAAAATTCAATATGATTTAGGTAGCTAGCAATTTGAGCCTTAGAAAAATGTTTTCCATGGGATTTTATTTTGTCATTCACTAGTGTTGGAACAAATTTTTAAATTAACTTGTATGTATCCAGTGTGTTCTTGTTACTCTCCTCCCTATAGATGAAGACGATGCTAACGTGAGCTGTGTTACAGATCGTCATCAGATAGTGCAGGAGGCAGACCACTTCCACACTCTGGAGATCTGCCGCACACTGCTGGAGGACAGTGGAGAGTACACAATGACAGCACAGAACTGTCTAGGAGCTGTTAGCTGTCACTGTCAGCTGGTGGTGGACAAGGTATACAGCAGTAAATCTTTAATACTGAACTAGCGGTCCATCCATCTATATTTACAAGCTATGGCCAATTGATCAAGTCAAACATCGTTGCGTTGATTGAGCCACACTCAGGCTATAATGATATTTTCCATTACTCCATTAGTTTTGCTACTGTAATGGTCGAGTCCACACAATATTTTTAAGTTAACTATAGAGGTATATAAGGAGCTCAATCTTTGATTGAAATTCAGAAAATTGAGCCGAGGTGAGCTTTGATTCAGAATGGCTCATTCAACCATGTTGTTTTCCAATATAAATTTGGCTACGACTACTCCATCGATGAGATGTCGAGATTGGTATATAAAAGTCAATGTTATTGCTAACCATCTGTTCTTAATTTTTGGGAGTCAAAAAGATTATTGGACGTCAACCTTAATTTAAAAGATAAATTATAAACTTTGTTTGACTTCTTCAATAGAGAGAAATGTATGTATTGCATCTTGCCAACAAGCTTAGTATTCATTATTCTTTGTTATTGTTGATTGTCCATTTGCCTGATGTGTTACTATGTTGTACAGGGTATCCGAGCGTATATATCCCCGGAGTTCATCTGTGAACTGTCCCCTGCAGTCACTGTCAGGGAGGGGGCAGAGTTGAGACTGTTTGCTCAAGTAGAAGCCTACCCAACTGTCAGCATCTCATGGTATGACTACTATGAATTTGTTAATACAACCAAACAGCATTAATAATCTTATCGATAGGCTAGTGTGTTGTAGTTTTGAATATTGAGAGTGGCAGACATCCCGTTCCCATGTTAAAGCTATAGCCAGTTTCAAAATGAAAATGAACATAATTGAATTGAGTCACCAACAGACTGTGTTAATGATGCCTATTACTGATTTTGAAACACCGACTCTTTAACCAAGCCAAATTAACAGGAAAAATACCTGTAAGCCATAGTACTGGTATATTTTATGCCATATAAAATTATTGAAAACTAAGAGAGAAAGCAGTATTACATAAACAAGACAATCAGTGAGATGTTCATTCAGTGTTCCATGCTGCTATTTGAATGAAAATTATGGCTGTAGCTGGTTCAGACATTATATGGGATGGCTACTGTTCGATGTGGGAGTTAATGAGAGTTGTGAGAAAAATGTTCACACATAAGTAAGAAAGTCCAACTTTGGAGGGTGAACAGGGGGATTGGGGTTCTGGGTGAGCTCACCACACAAAGGGTTCGTAATTCACTACGAACCACTGCACACATTTGGAAAGGGAGAATTTAGTTTTGTTAATCACTGTTACAAAGAGAGAGGTTTAAGGTGGTAGACTCCACCAAGAGCTGGTCAAGGACCAAGATTGCCAGAATAACGGCGAGACGCTGCACATATGTCCAATCGAGGAAAGTTTTAGACGCTAACTGAATAAAATTGTTTCGGGGAAATTTGAGTGTTCCATGAGAGGGAAAGAGATAAGAGATAGATCACGCCATATGACGTAGGCATAGGATGATTTTGAGGAGAATATGAGGGAGGGGAGTTGCCGTGGTGGGTGTGTGTGTAGGTAGAGTGGAGTACATTTTACTAAGACTTAAAAGCGAATATCCAAATTAATGTTACAATCTATGCACACAGTTAATTAAATGTTAATAAATTACTAGTAATTAATAATGAAAAATTATCAAATGTAAAAAACCATACAGAACAGCAGCTACCCTAGTTTAAAAACAATGGTTGTTGTCGTAACCTAACCGTTACGTTAGAAAAGTGGACAGATAACTAGAGAACCACTTACGTTCGTTGGTGGACATAGAAGAAGGAGCCGTGACGAAGCATCCCACTTCAGGGCTGAGTGCACAGTGCAGCCACTCCGCAAAACATAATAACTCTTCTGTTACTAATAAATTAAAACAACTCTACTGCTCATATGAAACTATAATAACTTCTACTACAGTTGTAATTAGGAAAGGTATATGAACTGACACTATTTTGTATGTGTACTTTATTTTCATAATAATGATCTACAACCCTTAATTTCATTAAAATGAATTAGTATTGTATTGAGTTAGAACTTGAAGATAAAAATGTTATTTCACCTTGATGTTTGAATATAATCTTTTATGTGTTATTCATTAATGCTCCAGGCAGAGAGATGGAGTGCGGCTTCGCCCCAGCCGACGACTAGTGATGACGCTAGACCCAGAGGGCCGAGTAGAGCTCGCGTTGGCACACCTTACTGAGAGAGATGCCGGTCTGTACACCTGCAGTGCTACCAATGCGGTGGGCCGAGCAGAGACTGTGTGTCAGGTGTTTGTGACGGGTGGTACACCTGTTGCGGCCGGAGTGCCTACGATCACCACATCTAATGTGCCGTAAGTAGGCCTGCTCATTCATTATTGTGTAAACTTGTTAAGTGTAAAAGACTCTTGTTATCAATTAATTTAGCTGTGCAGTAGTCTATTTACTTTTCCGTTGATTAAATTAGTGTTCTTACTTGTACATTGTCAAATCTTGGTGTCCGGGAGATAACCGTAAAAGGTAGATTACTGCAACACATGTAAAACCTCAGTCAGTATTTTTATGTGAGCCCTAGGTTTGTTTGTTGCAAGTAAAGTAAGGGACCAACTGGTGCAGTACAAGAATAAACTGAACTAAACAAATTAAATGGTGGCACCTGAACACAAACGGTCTCATGGCATTGCAGTCTTGTTTTTACCACATTGTTTTATTTACGTCTGTTGTTAAGTATGTGTCTTGTTGGGTGTTTCAGGTACTCCAAAGAGCCCAGGTTCGTGACCAAGCCTCGGTCCAGTGAGGCTGTTGAAGGAGACACTGTGGTCATCACATGTGAAGTGGTGGGAGACCCTCGGCCGGAGGTCATGTGGCTACGAGACTGGCTTAAGGTTAGTTTCCATTGTTGATGACTTGCCTTTCATTTACGTTATTCAGTTAACCCTTATTTGCACTCTCAAACTATACAGCGATTTGCATCATGCTTAAAAGTTGTATGTTTGTCCTTCATAACAAAACATAAAAATCTAGGTAATTTATATGTGTTTGGTGGATACAAAGACATAGCTCCTCATGAGTCACTCACAAGACCTGACCAAGACAAGTTTAGAATCTTTGAGTTTCAATGATATTTTTGAGCGGAGCGAGCGAAGCTCTTATACATCGACTCTTATGCATTTCGTAATACGCAAACTCCTCCTGGACGGCTGAATCAATCGTTTTCAAATTTTGCATGATGATAAAGACCATATCGGTGAGTGCCAACATCTATATGGCGTTAAAAAAGTCTCTCAGGAATCCGCCCCACTGGGTCTCAAAGTTTCAATGTAATCCTTATGGAAGCAGTATTTGATACATACATAAACATATGATCAGCTGTTGACTTTTGAATGCAGTAGATAAATAAATAGCTGATAGCATTATTCCACAGATATTAGAACAGAAACGGTATGGATCATAAATACAATCAAATGACGACACTAGCTTGAGGTCCGTGACGTATGAAGTGGTGAAGGAAGTAGTAAAGGTGAGCAGTCTGGAGTGTGGAAACTGTTTATGATTATATGACGATTAGAATAAGGTATCTGCATTACTAAAATTCTATGGGAAGGGAGGAAAACAGGTCCGCGACGAAGGAAGTGGTGAAGGAAGTAGTATAGGCGAGCAGTCTGGAGTGAGGAAACTGATTATGGCGATTAGATTAAGGTATCTGCATTCCTAAAATTCTATGGGAAGGGAGGAAAACAGGTCCGCGACGTAGGAAGTGGTGAATGAAGTAGTAAGGGCGAGCAGTCTGGAGTGTGGAAACTGTTTATGACGATCAGATGAAGGTATCTGCAATCCTAAAATTAAAATGCTATTGGAAGGGAAGGAAACAGGTCCGCGACGTAGGAAGTGGTGAAGGAAGTAGTAAAGGCGAGCAGTCTGGAGTGTGGAAACTGTTTATGACGATTAGATAAAGGTATCTGCATTCCTAAAATTCTATGGGAAGGGAGGAAAACGGTCCACGACGTAGGAAGTAGTGAATGAAGTAGTAAGGGCGAGCAGTCTGGAGTGTGGAAACTGTTTATGACGATCAGATGAAGGTATCTGTAATCCTAAAATGCTATTGGAAGGGAAGGAAACAGGTCCACGACGTAGGAAGTGATGAAGGAAGTAGTAAAGGCGAGCTGTTCAGGGTGTGGAATCTGATTGTGACCATTAGATTAAGGTATATGCAATCCTAAAATGCTATGGGAAGGGAGGAAAACAGGTCCGTGACGTAGGAAGTGGTGAAGGAAGTAGTCAAGGCGAGCTGTCCGGAGTGTGGGAACTGTTTGGACACACAAATTCAAAGCTTGTCAGTAGCTGTTACATCTGTTTTATTTCTTAATGGCTGAAGCAAAGTATAATGTTTTTTTTACTTAATAACATGTTCCAATGTCAAAAAACGAGGGCAGTTTTTGTGTATAATAAATTTGTAATTCACTTGTACGCCGCAACGAGGCACCTCGCCACTTACTGACATCGTTTGCAGCTCTGTAGCCGTATTGTACGCATGTACGCATTGCTATGTGTTTTTAAAATTGTTTTAACTATTTAATCTTCCACTGTGTGGGAGTTAAGTTCAGTGATACGTTTTTTATCACAAAAGAAACATATCCAATGCCGACATCCATCACCAGATGACTGAAGACTACGGCTCTAATGTAATGAGTTAGGGTAAAGTGCAGAAATGGATTATGAAGTGTAAAGAAAACCTGTGAAAACCTTTATCCTTTGCTGTCTTCTGTAAGAAGTCTGGGTACCCACCAAAAACACAATATCTGTCCAAAATGATAATTTTCACAGCCATTTTTATTTTTTAGACTCCCTAGCCTATTTCTGCACTTTCCCCACTATCATTGCATTCGGGTCATTAACTTCAGTCGTCTGGCGATGAATGTAGGCATAGATAGATTTATTGTAATCAAAAAACGTATCAATGACCTTATCTCGCACGGGGCAGGAGATTCGATAGTTTAAATATTTTTTTTACACATATCATAATGTACAAGTCAGCTACAGAGCTGCAAATGGTGTCATTCCGTTCACCAATGAAAATGATGCCAGTAAATGGCGAGGAGCCTCGTTACAGCGTTCAAGTGAGCTACAAATTTATATGCAAAAACGGCCATTGCCTAAAAACCGCCCACATATGATTGTTTTAATTTTAGCCCCAAATTATGTAAAAATAGAAAACAAAAAGATTTTGCAAGAGGCCCAGAATTTAACCAGAAAACGAAAATTAAGTATAACCGTTTTGAAATTTAATATGACACCCTTTGAACCATAAAAGAGATAATTATTTTTGTGGGGAAGAGGGAATGCTCAAATCCTTTGTGGTTGGAAAATGAATGTGGTACGATAACAAAAATGTTTAATATTAACTAAAAATCAATATGAGTACAGTATGCTAGAAACAGCTTATAACATTTAATTAGGAAGAATCTTTCTTTGAACCAAATAGATAGACGACTCCATGTACAAAGGGTAGGGAGTACAGGATAAAATTTCAATTGATTCAGTTGATTGGTGCTTGAGTTTTCTCAGAATAGGCAGCGTGTTTAGCCATCTGTGTAGGCCCTGAGCCCTCTTGGGCATCACAAACAGACCGACAGATATTGAGATAAGACCACTTCCAGCATTCTTAAAATCTTAAACGTAAAATAACAAAAAACTTCATGATTCTACCCTATGTACAGAAAAAACTCTTTATTAGCGAATTTCCCTATAGCGAAGTAGCTATTACCGTAGGTGGCACGGTAAGACCTAGACCCGGGACCGATTTACTTTTTCATTTTGATGTCCCCAGAGGCCAAAAACACTATTCGTTCAAATTTTTATATATGTATATATATATATATATATATATATATGGACTTATATATATATATATATATATATTATATATACATCCGTGAACGCAATAACTTGAGTAATTTTTGTCCGATTTTGATGAAATTTGGTTTAAAGGTGTAAAGCGGGATAAACTTGAATGAGTTCGCGAACCAGCATGATCGGACCATGGGAACGGGGCTTTACGGGGGGTTTTATGGGGTAAAAATCGGTTTTTCTCACTTTTGACCCTCAAAACACAAAATTTCCCAATTTCTCTTTAGACCTTTTTAAAGAGCTTAAAAAAACAATTAATTTAGTATATAAAAGTATTTTTGTTTGGTTAATAGTAACGGAGAAAATTAAAAAAATTTTCAATTTAAAATTCCCATGTTATTCTTATGGAGAATATTGTAAAATGTTGTAGTTTGCTTGTTTATGGATATATTTTGTATTTTGATCAAATTTATTTATTTTGTTCTAAGCTATCAATATTTTACAAAAAAACACACTTTATTAGTTTCCTTGTAGCAGCAAACCTAGGTACTCGTTAAACCTAATGTTATTAAAATATATTTATTTGAAAATCAATTAAGACAATAATGGAAATTCGCTTAGTCGGCAGGTTTGCTGCGGCGGGGGTATTTTTATTATTCATCCTGTATGCCAAGTAATTTTCAAAACCTATTGCCATCATCAACATTTTTTTATTGTATTATAAAGACTACCAAGAAAGCATGAGTGAAACAGTCCCTAAACCTACAGTAGTACAGGTAGTCTGCAACGATTGGCGGTGTGAGTGAAGGTTGGTGGTTTCAGACAGACAGGGGTATGACACACCATTAGAGAGAGAGAGATGGAGGTATGTATGTACCGCTGGAGGCCCACTTTCCCTGGTGCCGCCCGGCACAGTACCGCAGTACCGTGTGCCATGTACCGGACCCGGTCTACACCTCTATTTATACCGGTGATAGCATCTCGTCAGATAAATCACAGAGATTGGTTTGTTTTGGTTACTACGCTCCTAGGCTTGTCTATAAACTGGTTCTAGGCTCACCACTGTATCCAGATATGACACTTTATTAAATTCGTTATTTATTGTTATCTGAATCGGATAATCTACATATTTATGAGCCGTTGAGTCAAATGTTAACTGGGGTTTTATGACTCGTAGTTGGCCGTACACAGCTGGAATCGGTTATGACTTTATTATACTTTTATGACCTGGTGTTGGTCATGTAATATTCTGAGTAGGTTGAGATTTATGTAAACTTGGGGTTTAAATTTGTTTACTTGCCCAGTTATGAGTGGCAAAAAATTAAACAGTAGGTCTACACAGTAAAAATATTAATCTTTTGATATATTTGTTTTACTTCTTGGAAAACCCATGTCCGTCCATCCATATGGGCTAGGGGAGTCAATCATTCGACAAGTAGATAAGAAAATTGAGCTTTGAATTTAAAAAAATACAGATAATTAATTATTTTAATTGGCAATAAAATATTGAGAAATGCTTGTGAAATGAGGATGGTTAATGCAAGCCGAGATAGGGAGTAAGGATGAGATGGGTAGGACATGGCATGAGAAAAGAAGACTCTGACTCCTTATCAAGGTTAATTCTGGAGAGAAGACCAGAAGGCGGAATACTAAATCTGAGATGGTTGAGTTCTGAGACTGAGAAGAAAAAAGTAATAAGTAGATAGAGATGAATGGAGGCATTGTGTTGGGGAGGCCAAGAACCACTTGGGATACACCACAACAGTATAAGGTTTCAAATTTTAAAACATGTGCAAAAACAATAAATTTAATTGTAAATTTAAGTACAAAAATTAAAATACATAAATCCAACCATTGTGTGCCTGAATTTTAAACATTTTTCCTTCTTACTGGGGACTATTCCCCCAGTATCTATGTTTTCTCAGTATATTCTCTAAACCCCCGGCCCCCATTATAAAAGTGTTGGATGGACACCTATGTGCGAAAAATGTTTGGCAGAGGTTTTCGACCTTTGAATTTCAAAAATATCCGGGTAAGA